TGAGAAATGGTGCCCCGTTGTTGCCGTCAATGTGAGAAATGGTGCCCCGTTGTTGCCGTCAGTGTGAGAAATGGTGCCCCGTTGTCCCCGTCAATGTGAGAAATGGTGCCCCGTTGTTGCCGTCAATGTGAGAAATGGTGCCCCGTTGTCCCCCGTCAATGTGAGAAATGGTGCCCCGTTGTTGTTGTCAGTTGGCAGAATAGTGTCTCATATCAGTGGGAGGAATAGTGCCCCGAGGGCATGATAAAGGCAAGCAAAGGGCCACATCTGGCCCCAGGTCGCAGCTTGGAGACCACTGCTCTAGAGGCTGCAAAGGTCCCAGAACCTCAACCCCAATGGGAGGATAGATTTAAAGCGGAGCTCTGCCCAAAAGGGGAAGTTCTGCTTTAAAGACAGGTCCCTCAATCCCCTTTAAGGATTGGCATCTTTGGGGAGCGGGTACCTGAATTTGACAGGTACCCACTCCCACTTTCACTGCGATCGCCTAGGCGATCAAAAGCGGAAGTTGTCCTCCCTGCCCTCCCCATAGTCTTCTGGGACACGTGACAGGTCCCAGAAGACTACAGGACCATTCATGAAAAGCAGCGCTATTCGCACTACAGGCGGCGTATCTCTAAGCACTACAGCCGACGTATCTCCGCGCACTACAGCGGCGTATCTCCGCGCATACAGGCGGCGTATCTCCAAGCACACTACAGGCGGCGTATCTCCAAGCACACTACAAGCGGCGTATCTCCAAGCACACTACAGGCGGCGTATCTCCAAGCACACAAGGCGGCGTATCTCCAAGCACACTACAGGCGGCGTATCTCCAAGCACACTACAGGCGGCGTATCTCCAAGCACACTACAGGCGGCGTATCTCTAAGCACACTACAGGCGGCGTATCTCCGCACACTACAGGCGGCGTATCTTTAAGCACTACAGCCGGCGTATCTTTAAGCACTACAGCCGGCGTATCTCCGCCCACTACAGCCGGCGTATCTTTAAGCACTACAGGCGGCGTATCTCCGCCCACTACAGCCGGCGTATCTCCGCCCACTACAGCCGGCGTATCTCCGCACACTACAGCCGGCGTATCTCCGCCCACTACAGCCGGCGTATATCTCCGCACACTACAGCCGGCGTATCTCCGCACACTACAGCCGGCGTATCTCCGCCCACTACAGCCGGCGTATATCTCTGCGCACTACAGCCGGCGTATCTCCGCCCACTACAGCCGGCGTATATCTCTGCGCACTACAGCCGGCGTATATCTCTGCGCACTACAGCCGGCGTATATCTCTGCGCACTACAGCCGGCGTATCTCCGCCCACTACAGCTGGCGTATCTCCGCCCACTACAGCCGGCGTATCTCCGCCCACTACAGCCGGCGTATATCTCCGCACACTACAGCCGGCGTCCGCACACTACAGCCGGCGTATCTCTGCACACTACAGCCGGCGTATCTCCGCACACTACAGCCGGCGTATCTCTATATATTACAGCTGATGTACTGAGTCTACATTTTCCTCACCATACTGTATGCAGTAAAGCTATCAGTGATGGGGAAGGGCCCCCGGATAAAGATACACATAGTGGGACCCCTGTGATGGAGTCCCTAGATATAGATACATGTGGTGTGGGGCCCCTGGTTATACAGAGGGCCCCTGTCTGCACTCACCTGTCTCTGTAGCTTCTCTACCCGCTGCTGCATTTCCTGTATTTCGGCCTCTCGGTCACCCAGCACCAGCTTCACCCTCTGCAGCTCCCCCTCCAGCCCCCGCCGGGACACCTCCAGTTTGGTGTTGCGGTTCTCGGAGGCGTCCAGCACTTCTTTCAGACGCCGCTTGTCGCCGTCCAGCTTGGCCTCGTTGGCTTTTATTTTATTGAGTTTGTCCTGAGAGAGAGGAAAGGTTCAGGGGGGCAGAGCAGAGAGCAGAGCAGAGGTGCCTGACGGTACGCTTTCCACTAGTCACCCTTTGAAGCTCCGCCCCTATTGTGACAGGTACACTTTATACATATACAAGGCTCTATATATCTGTGTGATGTGATTGGTCACATTGCCTGGATGCCACAAGCCGCACCCACCACAGCACCCAATCCCACCCCTTTGGCTCCATCACCCAATCACCCAGTTCTGGGACAAGAGGTGGGCAGGAGGGGTGGCTGCCCTGGGCACTGTAGTATCATGTGAGGTGGGGGAGGGGGATTTGTATTGGGAGGGGGGATTTCAGCAGGGGGGTGAATTTGTGATGGGAGGGGGGATTTCAGCGGGGGGGGAGGTGAATTTGTGATGGGAGGGGGGATTGCAGGGGGGGGGTGAATTTGTGATGGGAGGGGGATTGCAGCAGGGGGGTGAATTTGTGATGGGAGGGGGATTTCAGCAGGGGGGTGATTTGTGCTGTTAGGGGGGATTTCAGCGGGGGGGGGGGGGTGAATTTGTGCTGGGAGGGGGGATTTCAGCGGGGGGGGTGAATTTGTGCTGGGAGGGGGGATTGCAGCAGAGGGGGTGAATTTGTGCTGGGAGGGGGGATTTCAGCAGGGCGGGTGAATTTGTGATGGGAGGGGGGATTTCAGCAGGGGGGGGTGAATTTGTGATGGGAGGGGGGATTGCAGCAGGGGGGTGAATTTGTGCTGGGAGGGGGGATTTCAGCAGGGGGGGGTGAGTTTGTGCTGTCAGGGGGGATTTCAGCAGGGGGGGTGAATTTGTGCTGGGAGGGGGAATTTCAGCAGGGGGGGTGAGTTTGTGCTGGGAGGGGGAATTTCAGCAGGGGGGGTGAATTTGTGCTGGGAGGGGGGATTTCAGCAGGGGGGGTGAATTTGTGCTGGGAGGGGGGATTTCAGCAGAGGGAGGTGAATTTGTGATGGGAGGGGGGATTTCAGCAGCAGGGGAGGTGAATTTGTGATGGGAGGGGGAATTGCAGCAGAGGGGGTGAATTTGTGCTGGGAGGGGGGATTGCAGCAGAGGGGGTGAATTTGTGCTGGGAGGGGGGATTGCAGCAGAGGGGGGGTGAATTTGTGCTGGGAGGGGGGATTTCAGCAGGGGGGTGAATTTGCGATGGGAGGGGGGATTTGCAGCAGGGGGGTGAATTTGTGCTGGGAGGGGGGATTTCAGCAGGGGGGTGAGTTTGTGTTGTTAGGGGGGATTTCAGCAGGGGGGATTTCAGCAGGGGGGGGGTGAATTTGTGCTGGGAGGGGGGATTTCAGCAGGGGGGGGGGGTGAATTTGTGCTGGGAGGGGGAATTTCAGCAGGGGGGGTGAATTTGTGCTGGGAGGGGGAATTTAAGCAGGGGGGGAGAATTTGTGATGGGAGGGGGGATTGCAGCAGGGGGGGTGAATTTGTGCCGGGAGGGGGGATTGTGTTGTTAGGGGGGATTTCAGCGGGGGGGGTGAATTTGTGCTGGGAGGGGGAATTTCAGCAGGGGGGGTGAATTTGTGATGGGAGGGGGGATTGCAGCAGGGGGGTGAATTTGTGATGGGAGGGGGGATTGCAGCAGGGGGGTGAATTTGTGCTGGGAGGGGGGATTTCAGCAGGGGGGTGAGTTTGTGTTGTTAGGGGGGATTTCAGCGGGGGGGTGAATTTGTACTGGGAGGGGGGATTTCAGCAGGGGGGGTGAATTTGTACTGGGAGGGGGGATTTCAGCAGGGGGGGTGAATTTGTGCTGGGAGGGGAATTTCAGCAGGGGGGGTGAATTTGTACTGGGAGAGGCGGAATTCATGCTTAGGAGGTAAGCATGCAGATTAGTGGAGGGGGGGGGGGGATTTTTGCTGACACATAATGGGGGGGGGGGGGTTACAGTTTGACATGCTCGCTCTAGGTGGCCTTGTTCCGGCCCCTTCGTCTTGCCTGACGTACCTGGGCCACCCGGTGCTCGTTCTCGGCTGCTTGCAGGCTGCGCTCCAAGCTGGCGGCTTTCTCGAGGGCCAACCTGCGCTCCCTCTCGCTGCGTCGCAGAGTCTCCTCCTGCAGGATGAGGGTGGTCTGGGCATTGCTGAGCTTACTGTCCACTCCTCGCTTACCTGGATATGAAGAGAACAGACATAGAAACCTCCGACTCAGCCCCCCCCCCCCCCCCCATCTACCCCACAGAGTGCTCCTCACCCTCCTCTATCTCTGACACCACTTTCTGCAGCTGCTGAACACGTGTGGTCACCCCGTCTCGCTCGGCCTCCATCTCCACCAGCTGCCGAGACGCCGTTCCCAGCTGAGTCCGCAGGTCGTCCTATGGGAGGAATTCAATGTATGTAGATCCTTGGTCTCCAATCAGCGACTTTGCCTAGGCTGAGATGATGTCACCAGTCTGCTGCAGGCAGGAGGAAGCATTTCCTCAGTCTCCCCCCAGTGATCAGACTGAGGAAATGCCTCCCCTCCCTACAAAGTTACAATGTACAGTGATCACTGGGGGAGGGGAGACTGAGGAAATGCCGCCTCCTCCTTCTACAAAGGAACAATGTGCAGTCTGATCACTGGGGAGGGGAGACTGAGGAAATGCCGCCTCCTCCTTCTACAAAGGAACAATGTGCAGTCTGATCACTGGGGGAGGGGAGACTGAGGAAATGCCTCCTCCTCCTCCTTCTACAGTCTCCACTCCCCCAGTGATCAGACTGTACATTGTAACTTTGTAGAAGGAGGAGGAGTCATTTCCTCAGTCTCCCCTCCCCCAGTGATCAGACATTGTAGCAAGTCACACGGTGAGAGACTGCAGCAGAGGCTGATCTGTGTCACACATTTGTGAACACAGCCAAACACTGTACAAGCCCGGGATTTACATGATGACGTCTCCCCATAGCATATCCTGGGTCCCAACCTTGCCCATTCTCACCCTCTCTCTCTGCGTGTCCCGGAGCTCCTGCAGGAAGTCTCGCAGGGCGGTGCGGATGACCTCGGGGTCGATATCGGCTGACAGTTGCTCCCCTCGGGTAGGAGAGGCTGACCGATCCGGGGTGCGGCTGCGCTCCGGGCTGCCTGTACGGGGGATGGGGCTGCCTCGTCCATCGGTAGTTGTGGTGTATGTATTGTCAAATCCTGGATGAAGAGAAGACGAGAATGAAGAGCACTTTGTGCAGCAGCCTTGCCGTGCCGACTCTCTGTGACGCCCGCTTACCCTTTAGTGGGGAGAACGCCCTGCGGGGTGAGTTACTGCGCCCCCTAACGGCCGGGCTCGGCGTGCGTCCCGCTCGGCCAATCCCCAGAGTTCTCCGCAGAGCAGAGTGCAGGCTGCTGAGTTTGAATTCCGTCTCCCTCTTCAGTCCTTCCAGACGCGCCACTCCGCCTCCAGTCCATGGACCCGCCCCTCACTGGCGCTCAACTTCAGGCTCAGCTGAGCCAACTCCTCCTGCGATGCTGCGACTTTGATCTCCAGATTGCGGGTGTTGTCCAGCAGCTTCTTCTCGTTGCCGCGAGCCTCCTCCAAGCTGCCCTGCAGTTCCTTCTCCCGCAGGCCAAAGTCGCTCTCCACCTCGGTCAGCTTCCTCTGCAGAGCGCCGAGCTGTGGAAAATCAGAGGAAGTCATGTCTGTGGCGGGATTATCACTTCCCTATCTATACCTATCCCCTTCCGCATCCGCCGGCGCTCGCCCCCTTCCGCTGGCGCTCGCCCCCTTCCGCTTCCGCTGGTGCTCGCCCCCTTCCGCTTCCGCCGGTGCGCTCGCCCCCTTCCGCAGGCGTTTGCCCCCTTCCGCCGGCGCTTCGCCCCCTTCCGCTGGCACTCGCCTCCTTCCGCATCCACCGGCGCTTACCCCCTTCCGCATCCGCCGGTACTCGCCTCCTTCTGTATCCGCCGGCGCTTACCCCCTTCCGTCGGCACTCGCCCCCTTACGCATCCGCCAGCACCCGCCCCCTACTGCATCCGCCGGCGCAGCCCTTTCCGCCGGCACTCGCCCCCTTCCGCATCCTGCCGGCACTCGCCCCCTTCACCGGCACTCGTCCCCTTCCGAATCTGCCGGCACTCGCCCCCTTCCGCCGGCACTCCGCCGGCACTCGCCCCCATCCGCCGGCACTCGCCCCCTTCCGCCGGCACTCGTCCCCTTCCGAATCCGCCGGCACTCGCCCCCTTCCGCATCCGCCGGCACTCGCCCCCCTTCCGCCGGCACTCACGCCCCCATCCGCATCCGCCGGCACTCGCCCCCTTCCGCATCCGCAGGCACTCGCCCCCTTCCGCATCCGCCGGCACTCGCCCCCTTCCGCATCCGCCGGCACTCGCCCCCTTCCGCATCCGCCGGCACTCGCCCCCTTCTGCATCCGCAGGCACTTACCTCCTTCCTGGCGGCTTCCCGGCCGCCTTCCGTCTCCACCAGCTTCTGCTTCAAGGAGAAGCTGTCTTTGCGCATTTCTTCCTCTCGCTGCTCACACATAGAAAGGCGCGCCTGCACTTCCGCCAAGTCTCGGCTGCGCTTTGTGTTCTCATCATCCAGAACCTTCAGCTGTGAAGAGGCAGAGAAGGAGTCAAAAGATGCCAGTTGTGGACAGCATAGGTCCTCGGGGGAAAGAGCCATAGGCTCCTGCTGCTGTCTGTCAATCACAGCCTTCGAGGAGAACGAAGAAGCATACTGTGTGCATCAATAGACACACAGAGCCCAGCTCAGGATCGAGCCCTCATGAGTACCTCTATAGCAAGGGGCTTGCTACGGGGGCACTTGGAAGGAGGGAGGATCCAGAAGCGCCGGTAGGGGGACCCGAGCCATAGCCTCCTACTACTGTCTGTCAATCACAGCCTGTGAGGAGAGAACCGAAGAGGCACACTGTGCGCATCAATGGACACACAGAGCCCAGCTCAGGATCGAGCCCTCATGAGTACCTCTATAGCAAGGGGCTTGCTACGGGGGCACTTGGAAGGAGGGAGGATCCAGAAGCGCCGGTAGGGGACCCGAGCCATAGCCTCCTACTACTGTCTGTCAATCACAGCCTGTGAGGAGAGAACGAAGAGGCACACTGTGCGCATCAATGGACACACAGAGCCAGGCTCAGGATCGAGCCCTTATGAGTACCTCTATAGCAAGGGGCTTGCTACGGGAGCACTTGGAAGGAGGGAGGATCCAGAAGCGCCAGTAGGGGCCCCGATAAGAGGAGGATCGGGGCTGCTCTGTGCAAAACCTTTACAGAGCGGGTCAGTATGACATGTTCGTTGCTTTTAAAAAATAAAAATGTTACCTTTACATTCACTTTCATTTTATAAGAATTACACAAATCTAGGCAGGACCTGGTGAGACTTCTCTTCAGATTCGTCAGATCTTAGCTGGTTTGCTGTCTGTGGATGGATCACGTTGTATTGAATAGTAGGTGATCAACAGGGCAGCACAGAAAGTGCCAAAGGGCCGCACGTGGCCCTTGGGACACAGATTGGGCACCAGCAGTACCGTAGGTGATCCATGTGGCCGCACAGAACAGGTGGAACTCTGCGATCACCTTGCTGGTCATTACCCTGGTTGGGAAGTCTCACTCAGTCCCAGATTACTAATTATTCCTGAACTCACAATGAGTTCTTTCATTTCACAAGTGGCGCACCCAGATGCACAAACCCTCACCTGCCGCCGCAGATCCTGCAGTTCTCTCCTCCCCTCCAGACGTGACCTCTCCACCTCCCGCAGGTTGCTGCGCAGATCAGCGGCCTCCTTCTCTGTGGCGGCTCTGGCCTCCTCCAGCACAGACAGCCTCTGCTCCTTCTCTTCATTGGCCCGTTTCAGACTGTTGATGCAATGCAAGCGGCATGGTCAGCGCTGTCACGCGGGATAGATCGGCCCACCCAGCAGCTTGTCATTAGGGAGATTTACCCCTTCTTTTATAATCTAATGGTCCTGGTGACCACTGTCACTGGTACTAGAAGGGATTAGAGCAGGGGTGTCAAACTGGCGGCCCTCCAGCTGTTGCGAAACTACAAGTCCCATCATGCCCCTGCCTTTGGGAGTCATGCTTGTAACTCAATCTTGCAATGTCTCATGGGACTTGTAGTTTGGCAACAGCTGGAGGGCCGCCAGTTTGACACCCGTGCTTCAGAACTACAAGTCCCATCATGCCCCTGCCTTTGGGAGTCATGCTTGTAATTGTCAGCCGTGCAATGCCTCATGGGACTTGTAGTTCTGAAGCAGGGGTGTCAAACTGGTAGCCCTCCAGTTGTTGCCAAACTACAAGTCCCATCATGCCTCTGCCTTTGAGAGTCGAGTCATGCTTGTACCTGTCAGCCATGCAGTGCCTCATGGGACTTGTAGTTCTGAAGCAGAGGTGTCAAACTGGTGGCCCTCCAGTTGTTGCAAAACTACAAGTCCCATCATGCCTCTGCCTTTGAGAGTCATGCTTGTAACTGTCAGCCGTGCAATGCCTCATGGGACTTGTAGTTCTGAAGCAGGGGTGTCAAACTGGTGGCCCTCCAGTTGTTGCAAAACTACAAGTCCCATCATGCCTCTGCCTTTGAGAGTCATGCTTGTAACTGTCAGCCGTGCAGTGCCTCATGGGACTTGTAGTTCTGAAGCAGGGTGTCAAACTGGTGGCCCTCCAGTTGTTGCAAAACTACAAGTCCCATCATGCCTCTGCCTTTGGGAATCATGCTTGTAACTGTCAGCCGTGCAATGCCTCATGGGACTTGTAGTTCTGAAGCAGGGGTGTCAAACTGGTGGCCCTCCAGTTGTTGCCAAACTACAAGTCCCATCATGCCTCTGCCTTTGGGAATCATGCTTGTAACTGTCAATCTTGCAATGCCTCATGGGACTTGTAGTTTGGCAACAGCTGAAAAGCCGCCAGTTTGACACACGTGGATTAGAGTATTAAAGGGGAAGTCTTCTGATGGGGACACCTGTTCTGGTGACAACAGTCTTAGTTATTTCCTCTCTTCCTGTTGTGTCCCTGGGAGAGGAAGTAAAAAACCCCTTAGACAGGAGTTCTCAGCGTACCCTTCTCTATCCAAAACTTATAAAAAGGTTTGGCTCAGAAATTCGATGTTACAAGACATACCTAATGCGTTCACTTTCCGCTCGCCGTACCGCCCCACGCAGCTCCTCATTAGATCTCTGTACAGCTTCCTTCTCTTTGGACTCATCACTGAGAGATCTGCGCAGGTCCTGGGCCTCCTTCTTATGTACCTCCACCGCCTCATGACTCTCACGCACACGCCGGTGGGCCTCAATCAGCTCACGCCGCACGGCGTCCCGGCCATCTTCTACTACACAGAGCTGAGTCTTCAGTTCATCCACCTGAGAGAGAACACAGAGGATCATCAGGGCTGGTCACACCTCAATGAATTGTGATTGGTTTGTGCGAGTTACTGCAGGCTGCCCCTTGAAGACTTTCCAAAAAACTGGAGAGTAACAGAAAGAAAACTGACAGACAGTCCGGTGGGTTATATAAAGGAGAACTCTGATGGCTCTAAACCGTCTGAATTTTCCGACAGGCCTTACCTCGCGCAGTGCCGCCTCCCTCTGTTTCCCCGTCTCTCGGATCTGCTCGTTCAGCCTCTTCAGCTCTCTATCAACAGATGTCAGCGATTCCTCATACTTCTCCTGCAGAGCCTTCAGCTCGGAGTTCAGATTAATGATGGTGCTCTGTACATGAAACAATTGATGTATATCTATAGATTGATAAATGTGGGGTCCAGATAGAACATTTATTCCAATATGACATCAGATATAAGACTGACACATGCCCAACACATTTCGGGGGAGAACGCCCCCTTCATCAGGGCTGAAGATGGAAAACCGTATATACCGGTCTGGAAATAGAAAGTAAAGTGTGTTTTAGCCAAGTAAGTGCAGAGTTGCCAACAGCTGATTTGTGCAAAAAACTTCCGCCAAGCTCCGTGCTTACCTGCCGGACGAAATTCCACAAGCTTTATTTTCAATCTGGTCCAGTATGTACGGCCTCTCATCTGAGGCCCTAATGAGGGGGGTGGTCTTTGGTCCCCAAAACCTGCTCGCTCTGTGACAAGGTCTCATACCTGATCACTTGCTACATGGGCCTGATCACATGCTGCATTGGCCTGATCACATGGTGCATTGGCCTGGACACTTGGTGCATTGGCCTGATCACATGGTGCATTGGCTTGGACATTTGGTACATGGGCCTGATCACATTGCATTGCCTTGGACATTAGGCACATGGGCCTGATTGCATGGTGCATTGGTCTGGACACTGGTACATGGGCCTGATCACATGCTGCATTGGCCTGATCACATGGTGCACTGATCACATGGTGCATTGCCTGATCACATGGTGCACTTGGTACATTTGGTACATGAGCCTGATCACATGGTGCACTGGCTTGGACATTTGGTACATGGGCCTGATCACATGGTGCACTGGCTTGGACATTTGGTACATGGGCCTGATCACATGGTGCATTGGCCTGGACACTTGATACATGGGCCTGATCACATGGTGCATTGGTCTGGACACTTGATACATGGGCCTGATCACATGGTGCATTGGCCTGGACACTTGGTACATGGGCCTGATCACATGGTGCATTGGTCTGGACACTTGCTACATGGCCTGATCACATGGTGCATTGGCTTGGACATTAGGCACATGGGCCTGATTGCATGGTACATGGGCCTGATCACATGGTGCATTGGCCTAATCACATGGTGCACTGGCTTGGACATTTGGTACATGGGCCTGATCACATGGTGCACAGGCTGGATCACCAGGTGCATCGGTAGGGTTGTCACGTCATCCCTATAAAACCGAACACATAATAATCACACGGGTTCTGAGGCTAATTTAATGCACATAAAGCTCTAAGTGAGTTTAATTACCACCTTAATCAGCCACAGAACCTGTGTCACTAATATGTGTTTTATAGGGATGAGGAGGCAACCCTATGCATTGGCCTGATCACTTGGTACATGGGCCAGATCCCATAGTGTACTGGTAAAATCACATGGTGCACTGACATGATCACATGGTGCATTGGTTTGGACACTTAGTACATGGGCCTGATCACATAGCTCATTGGCATGATCACATGGTGCATTGGTTTGGACACTTGGTACATGGGCCTGATCACATGGTGCATTGGCCTGATCACATGGCACATTGGCTTGGACACTTGCTACACATGGGCTGATCGCACATGGTTCATTGACCTGATCACATGGTGCATTGGCTTGGACACTTAGTACATAGTCACATGGTGACCTGATCACATGGCACATTGGCTTGCACTTGTTACATGACCTGATCGCATGGTGCATTGACCTGATCACATGGCACATTGGCTTGGACACTTGCTACATGGGCCTGATCGCATGGTGCATTGACCTGATCACATGGTGCATTGGCTTGGACACTTAGTACATGACCTGATCACATGGTGCATTGGCCTGATCACATGATGCATTAATTTGGACACTTAGTACATGACCTGATCACATGATGCAGCGGTCTAATCACATCCAGCCCAGCTAGGCACTGAATATTATGTAGGAGCTGCAGCAGTGGGAAGAGTGATAAACGTGGATGATGTTTTTATGTGCTGGTATTGAGCGCACACTGTGAGTACATAACATGGAGCCTCACCCGGTCCTGCTCCTGCCTGCTCTGGTGTTCCCGTTTCTGGCGCTCCATCTCCAGGCTGAGTCCGGTCAGCGTGTGCTGCGTGTTGTTCAGTTTCTCGCTCAGAGACGCCTTTTCTGACTCCTTCAGGGAGAGGGCCTGTGGGAGAGATGGGAACACAAATTACACCCACAAATCCTCCAATCCAGGTAGAGGCTACATAGAGGCACATGTGTTTTCTATTTATTTATGTACATAAAAACTAAAGTTTAATCTGCTTGTTTTACATTTCCGGCTCCTCCTTTCTTACCTCAATGTGCTAATAATGACATACTGAAGTAAAACTTATTTCCATGACATGCCTTATTTTACACCCAATCATGTTATCACCGGCTTTCTGTGATTCTCTATACAATGTAGGCAGATTATGGCTGGTGGAAGGGGCCGGCAGGGGGCTGTACTTAGCTTCCTGAAAACATCACACAGCACCCTTCCTCAGTACTCCTTTCAAGAGCCCCCAGTCCTGATGCAAGCAGTGGGCGGGCTCTTGGGAGGAGCTATGCAAATGTCAAAATGCCTTGATGTCATTCTGGAGGAGTGGATGTTCCTAGGCAGGCTGTATTTACATGTAGACTTCTCTGAGTATTGCCCTACATGTGATGCTGAGCCTCCATTAATGAAGGAAATGAAATCCAATTAATGAATGGGGCGGGGCCAGGGATAGGCAGGCTAGGGAGAAAAGGGCTAGATGATGCTGGATGGTTCCGGCCCTGCTCACCTGCTGCTTCTCATTCTCAGCCTGTAAGAGGCTGTCATCGCGCTCCTGCTGCAGAGTTGCTATCTCCTCACTCATCTCCTCACGTTCCATCTCGTATTTGGCCAGTAACTCTTCCCGCTCCTGCGTCAGGTGGTGGACCAACTGTTCTTTATCCGATTCCAGCTCCAGGCGCTGCGCTTCCTGCAATACATCCAAAGTCACACCTCCTGCAGAGAAGTATCAGGGACAGGCTGGCCATATGTGTTCTGCTCAGAAGACTGGCAACCTGTGAAGTCCCAGCATGCACCACTCTCCCCAGCCTCAGATCACATAGACACACTGGGATCAATCAATGCTGAGACACTACAAGTCCCAGCATGCACCACTCCCCCCAGCCTCAGATCACACAGACACACAAGGATCAATCAATGCTGTGACACTACAAATCCCAGCATGCACCACTCCACCCAGCCTCAGATCACACAGACACACTGAGATCAATCAATGCTGTGACACTACAAGTCCCAGCATGCACCACTCCCCCAGCCTCAGATCACACAGACACACTAGGATCAATCAATACTGTGACACTACAAGTCCCAGCATGCACCACTCCCCCAGCCTCAGATCACACAGACACACTAGGATCAATCAATACTGTGACACTACAAGTCCCAGCATGCACACACCCCCCAGCAAACCACCTCCCCCCCAGCCTCAGATCACACAGACACACTGGGATCAATCAATGCTTGACACTACTGTGACACTACAAATCCCAGCATGCACCACCCCCCCAGCCTCAGATCACACAGACACACTGGGATCAATCAATACTGTGACACTACAAGTCCCAGCATGCACCACTCCACCCAGCCTCAGATCACACAGACACACTAGGATCAATCAATACTGTGACACTACAAATCCCAGCATGCACCACTCTCCACCCAGCCTCAGATCACATAGACACACAAGGATCAATCAATGCTGTGACACTACAAGTCCCAGCATGCACCACTCCCCCAGCCTCAGATCGACACTACATATGAACACACAAGGATCAATCAATGCTGTGACACTACAAGTCCCAGCATGCACCACTCCCCCCAGCCTCAGATCGCATAGACACACAAAGAGCAATCAATCAATGCCATGACACTACAAGTCCCAGCATGCACCACCCCCCCAGCCTCAGATCACATAGACACACTAGGATCAATCAATGTGACACTACAAAAGTGCACCACTCCACCCAGCCTCAATGTATTAGGGAAATCAATGCTGTTGACATACAAGATCCAGCATGCACCACTCTCCAACCACTGCTCTGATAATAGATCACAAACTTGACACTACAAATCCCAGCATGACTCCACCCAGCCTCAGATCACACAATGCTGTGACACTACAAGTCCCAGCATGCACCACTCTCCCCAGCCTCAGATCACACAGACACACTGGGATCAATCAATACTGTGACACTTACAAGTCCCAGCATGCACCACTCCCCCCAGCCTCAGATCACACAGACACACTAGGATCAATCAATACTGTGACACTTCATGCACCACTCCCCCCAGCTCAGATCACATAGTTCAAGGATCAATGTACTGTGACTCCTACAAATGCATGATCCACCCAGCCCTCAGATCACATCACAAGGAGTTCAAGTGCCAGCATGCACCACTCCCCCAGCCTCAGATCGCTGAACACTTCATGCTGTGACACTACAAGTCCCAGTGCCATGCCTCAGATCGCTTCCTGACACTACAAGTCCGCATGCACCCACCCCCCCAGCCTCAGATCACAGACACACTAGGATCAATGCTGTGACACTACAAGTCTCCTCCCTCAGCAGACGTTCCATGTCCTCCTCATGCGATTTCTGTTCGCTCTTCAGTGCCATGTGAGCTTCTCTCTCCGCCTGGACCAGCTGCAGGCTGAGGGTCTCCTTGTCCCGTTCCAGTTTAGTGACCTCGGCCTCCATTTGCCGACGCAAAGAGACAACCTCCGCTGTAGGGAGAGAAAAGCGCTGATGACTGGTGGAGTACGAGAGCCTCTCTTCCTCCCCGATATACAATTATCCTTTGCCTGTAGAAGGCAGACACTTTATTATCGCACACAGAAAAGAGTATGATAGGAATTCTGATATCTCTGTAAATTCCATAACTTGGTGTACAGCACGGGACCCAGGCTTGATATTCACAGACCCCGGGATGTCCCCAAGCAATGAATGAGAAGATTGGGTAACAAGGCCAACAGAAATGTGCCAACAGGTCCAACAATAACAAGAGTCAAGTGAACCAACTCAGTGCTGCTTCAAGAACCTCGTGGTTGAAGGCTACATATGTAGATGTTTGGAGGACCATCTTGGAGAACTTGGAGAAGGAATGAACTGAAGACCAAGTGGCTGCTTTACAAAGCTGACCAACAGAGGCTTGATGTCAGAATACCCGAAAACATCCACCGTTCTGGTGGACTGAGCATGTAATACTGCTGGATATGTTTTCATCGTTTCGAGTGTAAGCTCTTTGGATGAGTTGTCCTATCCACCTAGCAATAGTGGATTTCAAATATATAGGAACACGTAAATAAACATATTGAGTGTCTAATGATGCTAGGTATTCCTCTTGTCTCCGAGAAGCAAGAACTGACCTTTGGAACATGAAGGTAATGGTTTCGGGATATTAGGTCGGAGAAAGGACTAATATCCGCGTTGGGTCTTGGTACCGGCAACAGGTTTAAATAAAATCCTTTGAATCTGTTCTCCAGAACAATCTGAACGACAACTACCTGGGACAAGACATGGCTCAGAGTGGTTTGCAGATCTGACTCTCTTTGACCAGGTTTTGGTTGGTTTGAGAGAAGAAGACGCTGAGTGGGTAAAGTGTGAAACTCTATTTCAGGGTTCCTCAACCAAAGTTCCATGGAACCCTAAGGTTCCTCCAGAGATTGCTAGGGGTTCCTTGAGCAATTTCTGCCTCTCAGATAAGTTCCCACTGACACCATTGATCTTTTTAGCTGTAAGGGGGGATTCTTTCCAATGTCCACACATGTAAGGAGCATTCTTCTCATAGACCATCACACTAATGTATCAAGACTTGCAGATATGGTCATTTTTAGCTGGGGTTCCTTGAGCCTATTATTTCAAGGGTTCCTCTGCGTTGAAAAGTTTGAGAAAGGCTGCTCTATTTTGTACCTCTTCATTTCACCGGTCTGGAATGTATGAGAAGAACAAACTGTAACAGATGTCTAACCACTCTGGGTTCAGCTCTGAAGATGAAAGTAGAGGATGGCGACAAAACACTCTTTGAAGGAGATTGATATGGAGCCAGGGGGGGGGGGGGGGGGGGGACCCTGGGCTAGAAGCCTTTCAGTGTGGAAGAAGGACCTTTCCTCCTGTGGATGAATCTGTCAAGTGCCTCACCAAAGAGACAGCCTCCTTCAAAGGCATACATGTGAGGTGTCATTTACCTGCAGCTTCAGCTCACTAGGCTTTGAGCTACAAGATTCTGTGCATGTGAACGGAAATGAAAGCAATTCTAGAGATTTGAATCAGAACATGTTCTAGAACAGGGTTTCTCAATTAGGGTTCCATAGGACCCCAAGGTTCCTTCAGAGGTTGCTAGGGGGTAAAAGTTCTGCCTCTCAGCTAAGTTCCAACGGACACATTGAGCTTTATACCCATCTATAAGGGGGAAGTCTTCCCACTGACCATCACACTAATGTATCATGAGCTGTAGATATAGTAATTTTTAGGAGGGGGTTCCCTGAGACCGGAAAGTTATTTCAAGGGTTCCTCTGTGTTGAAAAGATTGAGAAAGGCTGTTCTAGAACATCAACTCACAAGAATAAAGTGGAAGGAAGTGTCTGTAAGCCCTCAAAGGAGCTTGTTGGTTGTTTTTTAGTCTAGTCCAGTGGTCGGCAAGCCGCGGATCGCGAGCCACATGCGGCTCTTTACACACTTTAATGCGGCTCTTCTGTGTGCCGGGAGCCCGCTCCCCTCCCTCCTCTCGGGCGGCCGCCCCAAAAGTCAGGACTCTGCAGCTAGCCCAGCAATGGGCAAACTACGGCCCGGCGGACCTTTTAATCCGGCCCGCGGAGCGTGATCCAAAAAAAAAAAAAAAAACAGCCAGGGCAGCGCGCTCAAATGCAATGATTGGCCAGTCTCGCTGCCACTCACATCCTGATAGCCAGTGATTGGCTGTCAGGATGTGTCTAGGCGGGGCAGCGTGATGAACGTGAGAGGAGCTAGGCTCCTCTCACAGTCCGCCCTGAAGACCGGAACGGCGCGGGAACACGGCGAGAAGAACGCGCGGAGCAAAGGTAAGTGAATTGACACAGGGGGGACTTGGCTTACTACTTGCTACTTACTTACTACTACTATATGAGGAATGAATTAATATATGGGGGATGAATTACTATATGGGGGATGAATTACTATAGGGGGGATGAATTACTATAGGGGGGATGAATTACTATATGGGGGTATGAATTAACTATATGAGGGATGAATACTAATAGGGGGGATGAATTACTATATGAGGGAATGACTATATATGGGGGGATGAATTACTATATGGGGGATGAATTACTATGGGGATGAATTACTATATGGGGATGAATTACTATATGGGGGATGAATTACTATATGGGGGATGAATTACTATATGGGGGATGAATTACTATATTGGGGATGAATTACTATATGGGGGATGAAATTGACTATATGGGGGATGAATTACTATATGGGGGATGAATTACTATATGAGGGATGAATTAATATGGGGGATGAATTAATATGGGGGATGAATTACTATATGGGGGATGAATTACTATATGGGGGATGAATTACTATATGAGGGATGAATTACTATATGAGGGATGAATTAATATGGGGGATGAATTACTATAGGGGGATGAATTACTATAGGGGGGATGAATTACTATAATGAGGGATGAAATTAATATGGGAGGATGAATTACTATATGGGGATGAATTACTATATGGGGGATGAATTACTATATGGGGGATGAATTACTATGGGGGATGAATTACTATGGGGGATGAATTTACTATGAATTGGGGGATGAATTACTATATGAGGGATGAATTACTATATGGGGGATGAATTACTATATGGGGGATGAATTACTATATGGGGGATGAATTACTATGGGGGATGAATTACTATGGGGGATGAATTACTATATGGGGGGATGAATTACTATATGGGGGGATGAATTACTATATGGGGGATGAATTACTATATGGGGGATGAATTACATTATATGGGGGATGAATTACTATATGGGGATGAATTACTATATATGAATTACTAGGGGGATGAATTACTATATGGGGATGAATTACTATATGGGGGATGAATTACTATATGGGGGATGAATTACTATATGGGGATGAATTACTATGGGGGATGAATTACTATATGGGGGATGAATTACTATACTGGGGATGAATTACTATATGGGGATGAATTACTATGGGGGATGAATTACTATATGGGGGATGAATTACTATAGGGGGGGATGAATTACTATATGGGGGATGAATTACTATGGGGGATGAATTACTATATGAGGGATGAATTACTATATGGGGGGATGAATTACTATGGGGATGAATTACTATAGGGGGGATGAATTACTATATGAGGGATGAATTACTATATGGGGGATGAATTACTATGGGGGATGAATTACTATATGGGGGATGAATTACTATGGGGGATGAATTACTATATGGGGGATGAATTACTATATGGGGGATGAATTACTATGGGGGATGAATTACTATAAAAACTTATTGAAACTAAAAACAGTGTACCATCCTATGTATTTTCAGTTTTAAAAATGTGGCTCTCAAAATAAATTTCAATCGTGGTTTTGGCGAGATTTGGCTCAGTTGAAAAAAAGGTTGCCCACCACTGGTCTAGTCCAATTAACTGTGGTCTGACAGTGAGAAATTGCAGCATTAGCCAGTCGCCAAGCTGGGCATGTGGGGTTAAAGTACGCATATTGCTGGAATCTGTAACATCAGGTGTATAGGAGCCTGAGGGCGAGACATCTTCTGTGGCCTCCTCCAACACCGGATATCCAAGTCCTCTTCATTCCCCTCAATGTCTGCATCTTTTAGAAAAGGCGTTTTAGTTTCTGATGCTAGGTGGAAAAGGAGCCTAGGGGTTTTGAGCCCTGGACAGTTATGGAGGTATTAGTTGTCAGAGTTGTCAGAGTAAGTCTAACATAGTTGCAGAAAAGTCTTCCTTAGTCAGGTAGGCCACTTGTAGCGTGCCTGAGATAAAGCTGGAATTGGATCCAGAGGGCGGCGTTTTATAGCAGGGTACTGCTCCAGTGCAAGGGAAGAATCCGCTTTGAGTGATTTACAGGCCAGTAAAAGAGCAAATGTGTGCCTGAGCATTTGCTGTGGTCCCCTTGTACCTGGTTTCCACCATTTCTATTAATGGGGATGTTTCTGTGTGAAATAACCATGGAGTAGGGTGTGGAAATGGGGTAAGTGCAGGGGCGGACTGACAACTCATGGGGCCCCCGGGCAATAGGGGATCATGGGGCCCCTGTGTCCTTGCCATAACTCAAAAAGCCTATGAAAAAGGTACCAGGAGCATCTCATGGGGCCCCCTACTAACCTCGGGCCCTCAATAGGGGAGCATGGGGCCCCTGTGTCCTTGCCCAAACTCAAAAAAGCGTATAAAAAAGGTACCAGGGGCATCTCATGGGGCCCCCTACTGACCCTGGGCCCATGGGCAGTGCCCGAGTTTCCAAATGGTCAGTCCGCCCCTGGGTAAGTGTGTCTGTGAAAGATAGTAGGGAAACCTGGGTGTCAACCACCCTATAGGGAAGTCCTCCAGGCAAAAAGGTGGGAAGAAGTGCCTGAGTAGATTATAAAGGTCTCTAGGCAAAAGCGGTGGTAACAGTGTAACCCATGGCGTAATGTAACACCACCTAGTTATCCACCTGAGACCAGGGGTGGACTGACAACTCATGGGGCCCCCGGGGCAATAGGGGATCATGGGGCCCCTGTGTCCTCATCCACACTCAAGCCACACCCAAAAAAGCCTATGAAAGGTACTAGGGGCATCTCATGGGGCCCCCTACTAACCCTGGGCCCTCGGGCAGTGCCCGAGTTCCCGAATGGTCAGTCTGCCTCTGCCTGAGACTAAGCTCTGAATGGTGGACTTTAGCGCCAAGTTTGAAAACTTAAAAAAGTGAATAATTTTCACACACAGACCTGGTTTCCTGATATGTTAACGTAAAAATGAATTCTATACAGGAGACACATAATAAGTGGAAGGCTACAGTATCAGTACAATATCCTGACTTATCTGTCCACGTCAAAAGGTCCCTATTTTGGGTGCAGGCTTCACCGGTCACATGATGGGCAAACCCCCACAGGGGTCTTCAGGGTCAGAGTTCCTAGAGAAGAGCCACGGCCATGGACCTGTACCACGCAGTACAACAAATTCCAAGGTAAGCACCCAAGCGGGATCCAGTGCCTGGAGCAACATTACAGTCATCCCCACAGTGTGGGTCCAGGTACGGTTCCCAACATTACACCAATCCAGATGCACTGCTTCTATTGTTGTAGCAGAAAACATCGAGGAGCTGACTGAAGGGTTAATTGGAGAATCCGAAACAAGACAATCTAAATTTGAATAAAATGATTTCTCCGAAAGGGAGAAGAGGTCTACCACCTAAGGACACTAGCAAACTAACTGAGGTCTCATGAAGTGAGGTAAGGCTATGGGGGTTGGCTCTGAGGAAGAGGTTGTGTTCTCGAAACGCGTTAGACAGTTGGTAAGGCATCCAGGGTTCCATCGTATGGACTCATGAAGTGAGGTAAGGCTATGGGGGTTGGCTCTGAGGAAGAGGGTGTGTCCTCGAAACGCGTTAGTCAGTTGGTCATCCAGGGTTCCATCGTATGGACTCATGAAGTGAGGTAAGGCTATGGGGGTTGGCTCTGAGGAAGAGGTGTGTCCTCGAAACGCGTTAGCCAGTTGGTCATCCAGGGTTCCATCGTATGGACTCAGATGCTGTTTGGATCCTAACATCTTGTTCAGTGTGACATGCTGTGTTTTTTATGTCCATTGTGAGTATGATACTTACTTTGTTCTTTCAATAAATATTTTTAAACAATAATGCACTAGGTCGGTGTGCACCCTCTTTTTTGTTTTTCCATTTGCATTTATGGGGGTACGCCCAGGGGGTGTGTCCAGTAAAGTTTTGCTAGTGTCCAATCACCAGAAAGTAGCAGCCTATAAATCAGGGTCTTTAAACCTCCAGCCCGTGTCCTGTACAGTACAATGAAGATAATGGGGCACCATGTCAATGGGAGAAGAGCTGTGAGGGATAGGGTGGACATTTCTACTTGATGCCCTATCTATCATCTTTCTATGCTGCATTTTATTCCTTTTTGTCGCAGATCTTCAGCTGCTACTCGTAGTGCGGAGTAATGAGCGCCAGCGTACTGCTACAGGCTCTGCTAAACACGTGTAGCTGTATGAGGCATTGTCCACCATTGGGTGGTATTCTGTACGGCAGCCTGGTGTCGGAGACTTTTACCGTCCTATACACTCCCCATTACACATGTGCAGTTGTACAATCTCATAGCCTGACCTCTCACGTTACTCTGCAGGTGCTGCTAAACACACGTAGCTGCCCATCACAATTCCTAGCAGCTTCAGCCCTACAGCCTGCCTTCTGTTCAGAATTGGGTCAGTACCTTGCAGAGCCTCTTTAGCCAGCCGCAGACTCTGACTCTCGGCCTCCAGCTGCTCTTTGCGGGAAGTGATGTTGGTCAGTTGTTGCTGCACATCAAACAGCGTCGTCTCCAGAGCCTCCTTCTCTGTCCTGTGGAGGAGAAGAACAGAGCTCTATAGATGCTGGAGGAAAAGGGGGACAGAGCTTTATAGATGCGGAGAAAAAGGGGACAGAGCTCTATAGATGCCAGAAAAAAGGGGGACAGAGCTCTATGGATGCCGGAGGAAAAGGGGGACAGAGCTGTATAGATGCCGGAGGAAAAGGGGAACAGAGCTCTATAGATGCCGGAGGAAAAGGGGGACAGAGCTCTATAGATGCCGGAGGAAAAGGGGGACAGAGCTCTATAGATGCCGGAGGAAAAGGGGGACAGAGCTCTATGGATGCCGGAAGAAAAGGGGGACAAAGGTCTATAGATAGAGGAGAGAGCTCTATAGATGCTGGAGGAGAGATGGAGCTCTATAGATGCTGGAGGCAGAGGAGAGATGGGGCTCTATAGATGCTGGAGGAGAGGAGAGACGGGGATCTATAGATGCTGGAGCAGAGGAGAGATGGGGCTCTATAGATGCTGGAGCAGAGGAGAGACGGGGATCTATAGATGCTGGAGCAGAGGAGAGATGGGGATCTATATAGATGCTGGAGCAGAGGAGAGACGGGGATCTATAGATTCTGGAGCAGAGGAGAGATGGGGCTCTATAGATGCTGGAGCAGAGGAGAGACGGGGATCTATAGATGCTGGAGCAGAGGAGAAATGGGGCCCTATAGATGCTGGAGCAGAGGAGAGATGGGGCTCTATAGATGCTGGAGGAGAGGAGAGATGGGGCCCTATAGATGCTGGAGCAGAGGAGAGATGGGGCTCTATAGATGCTGGAGCAGAGGAGAGATGGGGCTCTATAGATGCTGTAGCAGAGGAGAGATGGGGATCTATAGATGCTGGAGCAGAGGAGAGATGGGGCTCTATAGATACCAGTATGGAGGAGAGATGGGGCTCTATAGATGCTGGAGCAGAGGAGAGATGGGGCTCTATAGATGCTGGAGGAGAGGAGAGATGGGGCCCTATAGATGCTGGAGGAGAGGAGAGATGGGGCTCTATAGATGCTGGAGGAGAGGAGAGATGGGGCTCTATAGATGCTGTAGCAGAGGAGAGATGGGGCTCTATAGATGCTGGAGGAGAGGAGAGATGGGGCTCTATAGATGCTGGAGCAGAGGAGAGATGGGGCTCTATAGATGCTGGAGCAGAGGAGTGATGGGGCTCTATAGATGCTTGAGCAGAGGAGGGATGGGGCCCTATAGATGCTGGAGGAGAGGAGGGATGGGGCTCCATAGATGCTGGAGCAGAGGAGAGATGGGGCTCTATAGATGCTGGAGCAGAGGAGAGATGGGGCTCTATAGATGCTGGAGCAGAGGAGAGATGGGGCTCTATAGATGCTGGAGCAGAGGAGAGATGGGGCTCTATAGATACCAGTATGGAGGAGAGATGGGGCTCTATAGATACCAGTATGGAGGAGAGATGGGGCTCTATAGATGCTGTAGCAGAGGAGAGATGGGGCTCTATAGATGCTGGAGGAGAGGAGAGATGGGGCTCTATAGATGCTGGAGCAGAGGAGAGATGGGGCTCTATAGATGCTGGAGCAGAGGAGAGATGGGGCTCTATAGATGCTTGAGCAGAGGAGAGATGGGGCTCTATAGATGCTGGAGCGGAGGAGAGATGGGGCCCTATAGATGCTGGAGGAGAGGAGAGATGGGGCCCTATAGATGCCAGTATGGAGGAGAAGAGGGACAGAGCCCTACAGATGACAGAGGTACCGTGTACAGTCCAGGGTGTATCATGGGGGGTTTCCTCTGTTTGGCCTTCTAGCTGCTTAGTTACAGCTGCAGCACCCATCCGGGGTAAGGAGTGTCTGTAACTGTTCACTGACCACACCGACTCACTCCATGTCACACTCTCAGTGATGCCCCCTAGTGGTCAAAGATCACTGAACTACAACAGAATAATAAACTGAAAAGACCATTGGAGAGAAACTGGTGTCCACAATGATCATGGTGTCAATTGTTCTGCAGATTCCTCTAATAACAGCCTCGTGTTTTTTATGGTAGGAAAATTTCTTGATATAGGGGGCCTCAGGTGCAGCCCCTGAAATCACCAAAGGGCCGTACATAATATTCAGCAAATGTAATGTTATAGAAAGCTGTCAGAAACTGCAGACATTCAACAGGGGATGATCAGAGACTGCAGACAATCAACAGGGGATGATCAGAGACTGCAGACATTCAACAGGGGATGATCAGAGACTGCAGACATTTAACAAGGGGTGGTCAGAGACTGCAGATACTATATAAACAGGGGATGATCAGAGACTGCATACATTTAACAGGGGATGATCAGAGCCTGCAGAAATTTAAAAGGGAACGATCAGAGCCTTCAGACATTCAAGAGGGGATGATCAGAGACTGCAGACATTCAACAGGGGATGATCAGAGACTGCAGACATTCAACAGGGATGATCAGAGACTGCAGACATTCAAGCAGGGGATGATCAGAGACTGCAGACATTCAACAGGGGATGATCAGAGACTGCAGACAATCAACAGGGGATGATCAGAGACTGCAGACATTCAACAGGGGATGGTCAGAGACTGCAGACATTCAACAGGGGATGATCAGAGACTGCAGACATTCAACAGGGGATGATCAGAGACTGCAGACATTCAACAGGGGATGATCAGAGACTGCAGACATTCAACAGGGGATGATCAGAGACTGCAGACATTCAGCAGGGGATGATCAGAGACTGCAGACAATCAACAGGGGATGATCAGAGACTGCAGACATTCAACAGGGGATGATCAGAGACTGCAGACAATTCAACAGGGGATGATGATCAGAGACTGCAGATATATAAACAGGGGATGATCAGAGACTGCAAACATTTAACAAAGGGTGGTCAGAGACTGCAGACATTCAACAGGGGATGATCAGAGACTGCAGACATTTAACAAGGGTTGGTCAGAGACTGCAGACATTCAACAGGGGATGATCAGAGACTGCAGACAATCAACAGGGGATGATCAGAGACTGCAGACATTCAACAGGGGATGATCAGAGACTGCAGACATTTAACAAGGGTTGGTCAGAGACTGCAGATATTTAACAGGGGATGATCAGAGACTGCAGACAATCAACAAGGGATGATCAGAGACTGCAGACATTCAACAGGGGATGATCAGAGACTGCAAACATTTAACAAGGGGATGGTCAGAGACTGCATACATTCAACAGGGGATGATCAGAGACTGCATACATTCAACAGGGGATGATCAGAGACTGCAAACATTCAGCAGGGGATGATCAGAGACTGCAGACATTCAGCAGGGGATGATCAGAGACTGCAGACATTCAGCAGGGATGATCAGAGACTGCAGACATTCAACATGGGATGATCAGAGACTGCAAACATTCAGCAGGGGATGATCAGAGACTGCAGACATTCAACAGGGGATGATCAGAGACTGCAGACATTCAACAGGGGATGATCAGAGACTGCAGACATTCAGCAGGGGATGATCAGAGACTGCAGACATTCAACAGGGGATGATCAGAGACTGCAGACATTCAACAGGGGATGATCAGAGACTGCAGACATTCAAAAGGGGATGATCAGAGACTGCAGACATTCAAAAGGGGATGATCAGAGACTGCAGACATTCAACAGGGGATGATCAGAGACTGCAAACATTCAACAGGGGATGATCAGAGACTGCAAACATTCAACAGGGGATGATCAGAGACTGCAAACATTCAACAGGGGATGCACTGTGGGACTATAGGAGATATTCTGATCAATAGACAATTCCTGTATTGACACAACTATGATATAAATCAGACTAAACAGCTATTTTACAGCCGGAGAGAGACCCGAGTGTTTAATGTCACCTTAGAGCTGCTATTTCTTCTGACTGCGTTCGGTTCTCGCGCTCACACGCGGTCAGCTGCACCACCAGGTTGCCCTTGTCCTTCATCAGAGCCTCCTTCTCTCTGGAGGCCCGGAGGAGGCTCTCACTATGCTGCTCCACCTCCTTCCGGCTCTGCACCAGCTCCTCACTCAGACAGTTCCTGTGCCGTGTCACCTGCAGGGGCAGTAGTGGGAAAATTAGCTTTTGGGGCTCCCCTTTGCCCACCTCACCTGTTCAGCTTTTCCCATAATCCCCGGCCCTCACCTGCCCCAGCTGCTCCTGAAGTTGTGTCTTCTCCTTGCGGAGGGAATGGAGCTCCTGCAGGAGTTTCTCGCGGGTTTGCTCCATGGCCTGCAGGGAGTTATCCAGGCCGAATCGCTCCGTGTCCAGCTCCAGCTTTTCCTGCTCCAGCCGCACTAACTCGTCCCGAATGGAGGCCTTCTCCTGCTCCACCTCGTGCTTCTGTCCCTGCAAGGTGGAGCGTTGTTCCTCCAGCTGTAGAAGGAATACACAAGTGTGTCTATAGTGCATCTCTGGATCCTGGATCTCTGAGAGCGAGTCTACTGTCCCCACCAGGATGCTGCTTACATGATACGGCATCCCAGTCTGGGTGGTCATACACCGCATACGTGATACGGCATCCCAGTCTGGGTGGTCATACACCGCATACATGATACGGCATCCCAGTCTGGGTGGTCATACACCGCATACATGATACGGCATCCCAGTCTGGGTGGTCATACACCGCATACATGATACGGCATCCCAGTCTGGGTGGTCATACACCGCATACATGATACGGCATCCCAGTCTGGGTGGTCATACACCGCATACATGATACGGCATCCCAGTCTGGGTGGTCATACACCGCATACATGATACAGCATCCCAGTCTGGGTGGTCATACACCGCATACATGATACAGCATCCCAGCCTGGGTGCTCATACACCGCATACATGATACAGCATCCCAGCCTGGGTGGTCATACACCGCATACATGATACAGCATCTCAGTCTGGGTGGTCATACACCGCATACATGATACAGCATCTCAGTCTGGGTGGTCATACACCACATACATGATACAGCATCCCAGTCTGGGTGGTCATACACCACATACATGATACAGCATCCCAGTCTGGGTGGTCATACACCGCATACATGATACGGCATCCCAGTCTGGGTGGTCATACACCGCATACATGATACAGCATCCCAGTCTAGGTGGTCATACACCGCATACATGATACGGCATCCCAGTCTGGGTGGTCATACACCGCATACATGATACAGCATCCCAGTTTGGGTGGTCATACACCGCATACATGATACAGCATCCCAGTCTGGGTGGTCATACACCGCATACATGATACAGCATCCCAGTCTGGGTGGTCATACACCACATACATGATACAGCATCCCAGCCTGGGTGGTCATACACCGCATACATGATACAGCATCCCAGCCTGGGTGGTCATACACCGCATACATGATACAGCATCCCAGTCTGGGTGGTCATACACCGCATACATGATACAGCATCCCAGTCTGGGTGGTCATACACCGCATACATGATACAGCATCCCAGCCTGGGTGCTCATACACCGCATACATGATACAGCATCCCAGCCTGGGTGCTCATACACCACATACATGATACGGCATCCCAGCCTGGGTGCTCATACACCGCATACATGATACAGCATCCCAGTCTGGGTGGTCATACACCACATACATGATACAGCATCCCAGCCTGGGTGCTCATACACCGCATACATGATACAGCATCCCAGCCTGGGTGGTCATACACCGCATACATGATACAGCATCCCAGTCTGGGTGGTCATACACCGCATACATGATACAGCATCCCAGTCTGGGTGGTCATACACCACATACATGATACAGCATCCCAGCCTGGGTGCTCATACACCACATACATGATACAGCATCCCAGTCTGGGTGGTCATACACCGCATACATGATACAGCATCCCAGTCTGGGTGGTCATACACCGCATACATGATACGGCATCCCAGTCTGGGTGGTCATACACCAACATACATGATACGGCATCCCAGTCTGGGTGGTCATACACCGAATACATGATACGGCATTCCAATCTGGGTGGTCATACACCGCATACATGATACAGCATCCCAGTCTGAGTGGTCATACACCAACATACATGATACGGCATCCCAGTCTGGGTGGTCATACACCGCATACATGATACGGCATCCCAGTCTGGGTGGTCATACACCGCATACATGATACGGCATCCCAGTCTGGGTGGTCATACACCGCATACATGATACGGCATCCCAGTCTGGGTGGTCATACACCGCATACATGATACGGCATCCCAGTCTGGGTGGTCATAGACCGCATACATGATACAGCATCCCAGTCTGGGTGGTCATACACCGAATACATTATACATGCCAAAAACAAGGCCCGCAGCCCAAATCCAGCCCACCAGGCCCTTTCATGTGGTTCTTGCACCTCTCCTGCAGCTGTAGCACCCCCCTCACATCCGCCCCCACCTTGTCTCAGTAGTCAACAGCAGAGAGTAAGACAGAACTCCTCCGCCAGATCTTGAACTTCTCTGTGCAGCCATGGAGAGACTCGTGTCTTCCCCCCCCCCCCCCCCCCCCCCCGTTTCAGCAGTCAGCAGTAGAGAGGAGAACAGGGCCGCAGCACCCCCTCATCTCCGCCTCCCCTGGTCTCAGCATTCAGCAGACTCCAGCAGCTGACTTCTGCCCTCCTCTGATCCTCCTCCAGACCCTGCACTTTTTGCTTTCCATCTCCACCCCCAGCTTCTTCCCAGGAACAGCACAGGTAAAGGGATGGTGGGGGACATGTGATTTTTTATGAAGGGGGCACTTGACATCTGATATAGGGGAAGGGGTTGGGGTGCTCTGGACATCTAGTCTTACATATAAAACCGGCCCTTGGAGGGCAACCATGCAGCCCACAATGAAATGGAGTTTGACTCCCGACATACATCATAATGGCTTGTCATGGATCATCACCTCACCAGTGACAAGCCTTCTGACCCCACTGTGGTGTGACCAGTACCTGAGCGATGACCTTGTTCAGCTCCATCTTGTCGTGGGCCAGGCTCTCGTTCAATGCACTCATCTTGGACAAAGCATCTCGCAGGGAGGCCTCTTCCGTCCTCTGCCGATTGAGTGCCAGCTCCAGCTCGGCGCGACTGGTCTCCGCCTGGTGGGAAGAAAGGAGATCCAATGAGCTTGCGGTGAAATACTCCTCACGCTGGTCTCATTGGGAAGACCCAGAAGTCCAATGCAGGAAAAAAAAAATGAACGATAAAACAGAGTTTTCGCTTTGATGGTAACAAAGCGAGCAGAAGATCGAGGTGACTAGCCGGCTTATTCAGAAAGGCAATGCAATGAGCAAAGCGGGCTACTTACTACTAAAACTGGAGGGTGCAAAATCTGGTGCAACTCCGCATAGAAACCAATCAGCTTCCAGGGTTTATTGCCAAAGCTTCATTGAACAAACTGAAGTTAGAAGCGGATTGGCTGCCATGCACGGCCGCACCGGATTCCACCAGAGTGCTCCACTTATACTAAACCTACCCCAGCGTGAAAAACTAGAGAATTAGAGAAGAAACCTGCAATGTGTGAATGGAGGAGACTAAACTCAGCCGATTCTGGATATGACACATCATGGCTATGACTAAAAATCTTACAAAGGACAAACATTCTCTTAAAAGTCAACCTTCTAGAGATGTCGTGACCTGGAAGAAGCATGCGGACAGTGAAACCTGAAAAGTATGAATGACAACCATCCTACATGCTTTATCCAGGTCAATGAGTCACTAAGTAGTGAAAAGCTGTCATTATGTCGACTTATCTGCTGCTCATGGACAGTAAATCAGGATTAGGGACAGTGGAAGACGGAGATCTCACCTTAGACAGGGCCTGGGAAATGTCAGCCTTCTCTGCGTCAGACACTTCCTTCTCCAGGCTGGACTGCTGCAGCGCCTCTTTCACCACCACCAGCTCCTTCCGGAGGGGCGGACAGCTTCACCTCCAACTGCTCCTGGGCCTTGTGCCTGCAGAACGCAAAAATGGGGCATGATGAATGGTACCGTGTACATCTTATGTGCAGTGACAACCTCTAGGGTGGTATCATGACAACCTCCAGCTGTACAGTGTGCACACCCCATGCAGAATCTGTAAAGTGCTGGCCATGCCTGCTGCACCAACACCGCCACACATCCCGGATGTAATGCACAAAGTGGCACCTGGAGAAGCAGGGATGTTCCATTCCTATCACCCGACGCTCGGGACATGTAGTTCTGGGCGCCGGGCAGGTAGTTTTTTTTCTACCTTTAGTCCCGCTGCGGACTCACCTGTCAGGTGGAAGCATTCGGGTGGCAGCGCTGCCGCCTGATCGCTTCCACACAGTGCATCGCATTACATTCAGTGGAGCACAGGGGAGACCCTGGAAGCCTCAATAAAGAGAACCTGTCACCAAAAAAATCATCACATCCCCTATCTAAATTTTATCATTTTTGTTCATACAACTAGAGCTTTCTTTTGGTGGTATTTAACCTCTTGGCGCCGGGCCGAACGCAAATGTGCGGCCTCCCGGCGTCTGGGCCTAGATGCTGAGTGGCCGCACATTTGCGTTCTATTAAAAAAAAAAAACATATATGCTGATAGCGCACTCCCAGCACACGTGTCCGGTACTCACAGAAAGGTCCCGATCTCCTCTTTCGATCGGGACCTTTCCCAATCATGTGACGGCGTGTCACGGCGGTCACATGACCCTAAACCCCGCCTCGCCTCCCAGCTTCTGAAACCCTTAAAGGGTGTCACATTCTGGTATTGGGGTGATTAAAGATGGTCTACATCCTCTCCTCTTCCCATCATCTGCTAGTTGTCAGACCGACCGCCGTTCGTCTTTTTGTGTTTCTTAACCACTTCCTTCCGGACACTTTCACCCCCTTCCCGGACACTTTCACCCCCTTTCCAGACCGGACACCCCCCTTCCTGACCAGGGCAATTTTCAGCTTTTAGCGCTATCACACTTTGAATGACAATTGCGCGGTCATGCAACACTGTACCCAAATTAATTTTTTACCATTTTTTTGAGACAGATAAAGCTTTATTTTGGTGGTATTTATTCACCGCTGGGATTTGTATTTTTTTTGCTATGTAAATGAAATGTCCAAATTTTGAAAAAAAGTGTTTTTTCTATAAAATTTTGCAAATAAATATTTCATCATAAATCTTAGCCAAAATTTATTCCATTATCTTTTTGGTAAAAAAAAAAAATCCAAATTAGTTTATAACCAAAAATTATCATTTTTAAACATTTTTTTTTACATTTTTATTTTATTTTTTTATATTATTTTTTATTTTTATTTTATTTTTTTTTACATACTGTCACCCTAGCAGTACAGTGTCACCATGGTGACACTGTACTACTTGTGGGGGGTGATGAAGATTTTTTTTTTTTTTTTTTTTTTTACACTGATTGCTTTTACACCCATAAAGGATGTAAAAGCAATCATTTCTCCTTCTCTCTGGCTGCATTCTTGCACTCATTGAGAAGTACTGAGTGAGCTGTGATTGGTCACAGCTTGTCACATGGTACAAGGCTGTTGTGAATAGCCTTGTACCATGTGACCTCTGTGATCATTCACAGATTTCACACGTAGTAAGCAATGATGTCAGAAGTGACATCTTGCTTACTACTTTGCATGTGATCACTGATTGGCCAATCAGTGATCACATGATCGGGACCTCGTACAGAGGTCCCGTCTGACGATCGGTGTTTCACTGTGTCCGGAGGACACAGTGGGCACTGGATCGCGGTGCTGCGCGCTCCCAGGGAGCGCGCACAAGCAGGGTTGCGGGGAGGCCGTTTATAAACACCCACCCGACCCTGCAGTGCCACTATCCAGCCGTTTATATGCAACGGCCGGTCGGGAAGTGGTTAATCCTTTGACCCAACACTGATACCCGGTTCTCAAACTATACCGACAAAGTGCACGCTTTCAGTGTTGTATTGCTCTCCTGGCCAAATGTTGGGGGTTTTTGTTACCTGCATTCTCGCATCAAAAAACCCCCCAAAAAGTCTACATCTTCTAAATTGTAGCTGGGGGCCGTAGATCTATGAGCACAGCTGTACAGGTCTATGAGCTCCATTGGTACACTGGCTGTATTTCTGCACTAAAACATGATAAAACTTGCAACAAATCTAATCTCTCTGAACGCAGAACGATCCCGACCGGACGGCGCTCTGGTTGTACAGATGTGGTCATGCAGTGATATGGTGGGAGGATGGGAGTTGTACTCCGGGAAGGATCACTGTCTAGTTCAGTGTCTGGTTTGTCTTTATATGTTGCAGTCAGAATTCTAAAACATCTCAGTTCATGTAATCTATACTGTATGTGATTGTAGGGATCATGAACGTGCACACAAGCGCTCGCTCACCCTCTCTCCACCTCGCGCAGCACCCGATTGCGGTCCTGGCATGCATCCTCTTTCTCTTCTTGTAGGAGGTCCCTCTGCCGCTGCAGGTCGCTGTTTGCTAGCTGCAGTTTCTCCGCCTCCTGTCGCTGCGTCTCCAGCTGTTCCTGAAGATTCTGGATGTTGCGCTCCAGCGCAGCACGCTCACTACAAGGCAGACACAGGCAGGGGTACCATCAATGTTGGTTTGCACTTCATACAAAAGAAATCTCTAAATACTGTGCACAGGATTTTGGAGCCGGTGATCCTTCTCTAATTTTTCCTATCTCGGCATGTCTGTACCTGTTGAGCTGCTCTAGGTTGGTGCGCAGCCTGGACACAGCGCGCTCGGCGTCATCCTTGGCAATGCTGGTATTGTCGAGATCTTGCTGTGTTTGGGTGATTTTCTGCTCCAGGGTGTGTCGCTCATTCTCGCTGTCGCTCAGCTGTTTGCGCAGCGCACCGACCGTCTCCTGTCCAGTCTCCAGCCGCCCTCGCAGTTCCTATGACAACAGACATTGAGCATTCACTCCAGTATGGAGATCTTACCTCCGACCAACTGCTGACTCCTCATTCTGTGGGACTCACACAGCCCGTCACAGCGATCCCCCCTTACCTGCACTTGCAGCTGCCTCCTCTGCAAAGCGGAGTGAACAGCGGAGAGAGCCGAGTCCCGGAATGCTGGCGACAGGCTGCGTCTTGGTGATGTGCTACGGTGCGGGGAGGAACGGCGGATGGGAGAGGAGGTGCGAAGACTGCTGGAAAGACCCCTCAGGCTGAGTCCCGGACCCTCGCTCTCTATAAACTCCGACGTCCTGTCGCTGGAGATCTGCAGACCGCTGTCCGAGTCACTCAGCACCGCCTGGCGGACAATTCCAATGAAAACAAAAAATTAAAATCAAAAAACTTTGGCAAAAAATGACTGAACCATAATAAGCGCCATCTAATCAGTATTCATGGAGGGGTGAGTTCCCGCTGTACCGCGTTCCCGCTGTACAGAGTTCCCGCTGTACCGAACTCCTGCTGTACCTAGTTCCCTCTGTACCGAATTCCCGCTGTACCGCGTTCCCTCTGTACCGAATTCCCTCTGTATCATGTTCCCTCTGTACCGCGTTCCCTCTGTACCGCGTTTCCCGCTGAAACCGCCCTTCCCGCTGTACCGCCTTCCCGCTGTACCGCCTTCCCGCTGTACCGCCTTCCCGCTGTACCGCCTTCCCTCTGTACCGCCTTCCCGCTGTACCCGCCTTCCCGCTGTAGCCGCCTTCCCGCTGTACCGCCTTCCCTCTGTACCGCCTTCCCGCTGTACCGCCTTCCCGCTGTACCGCCTTCCCCTGTACCCTTCCCGCTGTACCGCCTTCCCGCTGTACCGCCTTCCCTCTGTACCGCCTTCCCTCTGTACCGCCTTCCCTCTGTACCGCCTTCCCTCTGTACCCCCTTCCCGCTGTACCGCCCTTCCCGCTGTACCGAGTTCCCGCTGTACCGAGTTCCCCAAGTTTATCCTCTAGCAGACCTCTTTTCTTACAAAATATAAAGAAACAGCAAAACCAATATTTTTATTGGGAGGATAATGGTCTCTTGTAAGCCTGAGATTGTCAGCTCCTCAGCCTACATTTGTGGATGTCAGACCTGAGTGAGTTCTCGGAGGGTCTCTTGTAGAATTTCTCTCTCAGCCTTCAGTGATTCCACCTCCTCCCCGACCAGCATGGCCTGCTCCTCCATCTGGCTCTTCTCCTGCAATGACAAACGAAATGTCTCAAAACATGATGAGGAACGAGAAGCCTCCCACCTCACTGACCCCGAGGATGCTCACGCTGCTCCGCACTCTACTCTTAGGTCTCAAGCAATACCAGCAACACAGGTCACTGTATCTACGCACAACACTTACAATGTTTGGTTAAAGCGGAGCTCCACCCAAAAGGAGAAGCTCCACTTTAAGGACTGCACCCCCGCTGCCCATTAAAGATTGGCACCTTTGGGGGGCAGGGGGGAGCTGGTACCCAAATTAGACAGGTACCCGCTCCCACTTCTGGTCCGATTGCCTAGGCCGGGTGTCGGCAACCCGCGGCTCCGGAGCCGCATGCGGCTCTTTTTCACCTTTCCTGCGGCTCCGGAGCACACTGCCCACCAGGTGACAGGCAATAGGGTCGGCAAGCCGCGGCTCTTTTAATGCAGATCTTCTGTGTGCCGGGCGCCCGCTGGCAAACATTGGCTGTCAGGATGTAGGCGGGGCAGCCCGGATGTAGGCGGGGCAGCGTGACGAACTCCTCTCCTCTCACAGTCCGCCCTGAAGACCAGAACGGCGCGGGAACCCAGCGAGAGGAACGCGCGGAGCAAAGGTAAGTGAATTCACACAATATGGGGAATGAATTACTATGGGGGATGAATTACTATATGGGGGATGAATTACTATATGGGGGATGAATTACTATATGGGGGATGAATTACTATAGGGGGGATGAATTACTATATGGGGGATGAATTACTATAGGGGGGATGAATTACTATATGGGGGATGAATTACTATATGGGGGATGAATTACTATAGGGGGGATGAATTACTATATGGGGGATGAATTACTATGGGGGATGAATTACTATATGGGGGATGAATTACTATATGGGGGAATGAATTACTATATGGGGATGAATTACTATGGGGGATGAATTACTATATGGGGGATGAATTACTATATGGGGGATGAATTACTATGGGGGATGAATTACTATGGGGGATGAATTACTATATGGGGGATGAATTACTATATGGGGGAATGAATTACTATATGGGGGATGAATTACTATATGGGGGATGAATTAATTACTATATGGGGGAATGAATTACTATATGGGGGATGTATTTTCAGTTTTAAAAATGTTTCTCTCAAAATAAATTTCAATCGTGGTTTTGGCGAGATTTGGCTCAGTCGAAAAAAAAAAAGGTTGCCCACCACTGACCTAAGGCTATGATTGTGATTATGACGATACACTGTGGCCCTGATTAACCCTTTGCTTACTGGGCCCTTAAAAAAACCCCCTTCATGACCAGAGCGTTTTTTGCAATATATGCAGTGTCGGATTTGTTTTAAATGTTGCAATGGTTTTGCGGCTCCCAGTCTTTTTTTCCCTCTCGGAAACGGGTCCAAGTGGCTCTTTATGTCTTAAAGGTTGCAGACCCCTGGCCTAGGCGATCAGAAACAAGGTATCCTCCCTCCCTTCCTGTAGTCTTTTGGGACACGTGACAGGTCCCAGAAGACTACAGGACCATTCATGAAGCGCAGCGCTACTCGCGCATGCGCAGTGGGTACCCGGCTGTGAAGCCGCAAGCTATCTCAGCCAGGTGCCCACACTGAAGATGCCGGCCTCCTAGAATCCAGGACAGCCGGTGAAACGGGCTGCGGGGGACACACCGCGGGACTGAGGGACAGGTAAGGGGCTGTTTTTTTAAAAGTCAGCAGCTACAGTTTTTGTAGCTGCTGACTTTTATTTTTTGACAGTGTGAGCGGAACTCCGCTTTAACTTCAACTCCGGACAAAAAACAAAAAACAAAAAAAAAAACTCTAAGGCTCCATGTACACAGGACACTTCTGAACGATGGAAACTGACTGCTGGAAAACGGAGGTTAAAAAAAAGTCTGTTTGGCCGCGTTTGCATACCGCGTTTATGAGCGTTTGCGTTTAGAAGCGTTTTTTAAAGATAACCTCAGGTGACCTTCCAAAATGCCCAGAATGCACTGAAAAACAGTAAAAAAATAACTATTTCAGACAGTTTGAAAGAAATAGAGAGAGCAGAAGCAGAGAGAGCAGTATTTGTTGAGATTAGCTGCCTTTTTGTTTTGTGGTGTTTGGATGTTCCGGCTCATTTCTGTGCAGAGATTATTGCAGCATCTAACATTTTATTTCATGTGAAACCTCAAAGTACGGTGTTCCGGGTCCATTTGAGTTCCGGGAAAACGCTTTGCATGCATTTTTCATGATGAAAAAAGCCTCTGGACAGCATCTGGAAATGGAAGAGTTAAAAAAAAAAATTCCAAACGCAAACGCTGATAAACGCTGTTATCCGCGTTTACAAGCGTTTGGCATTTGAAACGCTGATAAAATCTACTCCTGAACGCAAGTTTGGTGCGTTCAAAAAAACGACTGTAAACTCAACTGCCTGTAAACGACGATGTGTACACGGACACATAGGAAAACATTACGGAGAGTTCAGGGGCTGCTGAAAAAAATGCAGAAAAGCTTCTGAACGTCAGATCATCAACTGCAATGTACATGAGCCCTAAAATTAAATATAATCCTCCACAGCCTCAAAGGTTGTAAAACCCACTTAGTGCCTTTGTAAACCCAGATATTCCGTTGTAAAAGTAGCAGCGACATCATCACAGCACTGTACATAGCCTGTGCAAAGAGCAGGGCTGTGGGAGGGGCCCAGCAGGCTCCACCCACTAGAAACCTACAGGAGGGGGCGGAGACAAGACCAGTCCCCGTGAACAAGGAGAGAGAGCAGCAGTGAGCGGTCTTTATTACAGGAAGTCTCACCCTGGATGACTGGACAGATCTGGAAGAAACACTCAGAGATCATCGAGATTCAAGAAAAGGACACAATGAGCGGATTTACCGTATTTGCCGGCGTATAAGACGACTTTTTACCCCTTGAAAATCTTCTCAAAAGTCGGGGGTCGTCTTATACGCCGGTATACGGCATACTGACACTTTTTAGGGGGCGGCGCGTTGCCGCCGCCGCCCCCCCCCCTTCCCCCAATGGAAGGGACACTAAGTACAGGGGTGGGCAGCGGCTGTTTCTTACCTGGTTCCGGTCCCAGGACGATCCGGTCCAGGAAGCGCGGCTGCGCCTTCAGTTCGGCCACTGGATGTTCGTGCGGCTGCTCGGCTCCGCCTCCTCACCAGTGATTGGCCGCCAGAACTGTAGCTCAGGAAAGGCACACAGGCGGCCAATCACCGGCGAGGGGGTGGAGCCGAGTGGCCCCGCGAAAATCGAGTGCAGGACCAGCAGGTAAGTGGTCAGTGTAGAGGTGCTGCTGCAACCACATATGCTGGCTGAAGCAGCACCATACGAGAACAGGGTCAGCAAGTGTCAGTGGGAGGAATAGTGCCCCATCATTGGTGTCACTGACACCAATGATGGGGCACTATTCCTCCCACTGACACCAACGATGGGGCACTATTCCTCCCACTGACACCAATGATGGGGCACTATTCCTCCCACTGACACCAACGATGGGGCACTATTCCTCCCACTGACACCAACGATGGGGCACTATTCCTCCCCCCCACTGACACCAACGATGGGGCACTATTCCCCCCCCCCCCACTGACACCAATGATGGGGCACTATTCCACCCCCCACTGACACCAATGATGGGACACCATTCCTCCCACTGACACCAATGATGGGGCACTATTCCCCCCACTGATACTAATGATGGGGCACTATTCCTGCCACTAATGCCAATGATGGGGCGCTATTCCTCCCACTGATACCAATGATGGGGCACTATTCCTCCCACTGACACCAATGATGGGGCACTATTTCCCCACTGACACCAATGATGGGGCACTATTCCTTCCACTGATACCAATGATGGGGCACTATTCCTCCCACTGACACCAATGATGGGGCACTATTCCTGCCACTGAATGCCAATGATGGGGCACTATTCCTCCCACTGACACCAATGATGGGGCACTATTCCTGCCACTGATACCAATGATGGGGCACTATTCCTCCCACTGATACCAATGATGGGGCACTATTCCTCCCACTGACACCAATGATGGGGCACTATTCCTGCCACTGATACCAATGATGGGGCACTATTCCTGCCACTGATACCAATGATGGGGCACTATTCCTCCCACTGATACCAATGATGGGGCACTATTCCTGCCACTGATACCAATGATGGGGCACTATTCCTCCCACTGACACCAATGATGGGGCACTATTCCTGCCACTGGTGTGCATTGGAAGAGGGGTAGTCTTATACGGCGAGTATAGCTCAAACACTAAATTTTAGCAGGAAAAGTAGGGGGGTCGTCTTATACGCCGGCAAATACGGTATACAATAATTGATTATTCCGGAGTTCAGCTTTAAGTCTCTGAACATCTGTGCGGCCATCTTGTTCTGTACCTTCTCCTGCAGGCTCCTGATCTGAAGGTCTTTTTCCTTGTTGTCGCTCTGCAGACGTTCTATGGTCCTAATCAGCTCTGCCGCCCTGCAGGACAAAACCACGCCTAAGTCACGGAGCAGAGACACGGGCAGCCAGCCACTGGGCATCAGAAACAACCTCAGTCCACCTGGATCAGCAGGTCTGTGCCACGGGTAACTAACCTGGCGCCAAGCTCCGCCTTCTCTGCGTCATACGCGGCTTGCAGCTGGATCATTTGTCGCACTTTGTCCTTCAGCTGCTCGTCCAGCTGGGCCAGCTGCAGCGCCTGCCTCTCCACTACGACGACGCCATTATTTTCTGCCAGCCGGTGGGATCCGCTGACGTTCAGGCACGAGGCGTGAAGAGTGCGGCAGGACTGCGACAGTTCCTTCTGCATCAGCGTCAGGTCCCTACGTACAGAAAGGGGGGGAAATCATATGGGGCTTCATGACAAACTCGGAGAGGGAGAACATGCAAACTCCATGCCATGTACAGAAAGGGGGGGAATTCATATGGGGTTCATGACAAAGGAGGGGAGGCAAACTCCATGCAGATACAGATAGGGGGGGGGGATCATATGGGGCTTCCTGACAAACTCGGAGAGGGAGAACATGCAAACTCCATGCAGACAGTGCCCTGAACCAAGTGCTAAACACTAAGCCACTCTGCTGCCTGCTACAGACAAGTTCATTCCATTATTTTCACTCCATTGTCATTTGTTATTTTGCAGCCAAGTGTGGACTGGCCTTGGGAGCTTACAGTCACACGCCCCTGATGCAGCCAGATCTTACCACCCTCTAGATAAAATACAAAGCCCTCATCACCCACCTCTCCGTCATGGTTTTCATCTCGCTGAAGTGTCTGCGGAACCCAACAACCTGCCTCCACAGTGACAGCAGCCGGCTGTGCTCATTACTGAAGTAGGAGTTAAAGGACTGCAGGGGGTGACAAAGGAGAAAACAATAAAGATTTCATTTCCTTATTTATATATCAATATATTAAGTCGCTTACACCAGTATCTGGACCAGAGGAGCTTACACTAATATCCCCTCCCCCACAGTCCCATCAGTCTGTACCAGAGGAGCTTACACTCTCTCACATCAGTCTCCCAGAGGTGCTTACACTCTAATGTCCCCTCCCCCACAGTCCCATCATCTCTGTACCAGAGGAGCTTACACTCTAATGTCCCCTCCCCCACAGTCCCATCAGTCTCTGTACCAGAGGAGCTTACACCCTAATGTCCCCTCCCCCACAGTCCCATCAGTCTCTGTACCAGAGGAGCTTACACTCCAATGTCTCCTCCCCCACAGTCACATCAGTCTCTGTACCAGAGGAGCTTACGCTCTAATGTCCCCTCCCCCACAGTCACATCAGTCTCTGTACCAGAGGAGCTTACCTCTAATGTCCCCTCCCCCACAGTCACATCAGTCTCTGTACCAGAGGAGCTTACGCTCCAATGTCCCTCCCCCACAGTCACATCAGTCTCTGTACCAGAGGAGCTTACGCTCTAATGTCCCCTCCCCCACAGTCCATCAGTCTCTGTACCAGAGGAGCTTACACCCTAATGTCCCCTCCCCCACAGTCCCATCAGTCTCTGTACCAGAGAGCTTACACTCCAAGCAGTCACATCAGTCTCTGTACCAGAGGAGCTTACGCTCTAATGTCCCCTCCCCCACAGTCACATCAGTCTCTGTACCAGAGGAGCTTACGCTCTAATGTCCCCTCCCCCACAGTCACATCAGTCTCTGTACCAGAGGAGCTTACGCTCCAATGTCTCCTCCCCCACAGTCCCATCAGTCTCTGTACCAGAGGAGCTTACACTCCAATGTCTCCTCCCCCACAGTCACATCAGTCTCTGTACCAGAGGAGCTTACGCTCTAATGTCCCCTCCCCCCACAGTCACATCAGTCTCTGTACCAGAGGAGCTTACGCTCTAATGTCCCCTCCCCCACAGTCACATCAGTCTCTGTACCAGAGGAGCTTACGCTCTAATGTCCCCTCCCCCACAGTCACATCAGTCTCTGTACCGGAGGAGCTTACACTCTAATGTCCCCTCCCCCACAGTCACATCAGTCTCTGTACCAGAGGAGCTTACGCTCTAATGTCCCCTCCCCCACAGTCACATCAGTCTCTGTACCGGAGGAGCTTACACTCTAATGTCCCCTCCCCCACAGTCACATCAGTCTCTGTACCAGAGGAGCTTACACTCTAATGCTAGTGTCCCCACCCCTACAGTAACAATTTCTGTACCAGAGGAGCTTACACTCTAATGCCCCCCCCCCCCCCCATCTCCCAGTTACACATACACTCCACTTTGTCAGTGTGCTGCACAGAAAGTCTACATTTTGGTATAGATCTGCATCTTGTGAGTGATCTGCGTCTCTGCAAATGAAATGGTCTCAGGACAATGTGGAAGACGCATGAAACCAGATAGAACCTGGCACTGATCTATGGATAATGTCACTCACCTCTTCCTCCCTCCTCCATTCACTCTCTTTCTGCTCCAACTCATCACGAGCTTTGGTCCAATCATTTGTCAGCTTGCGCAGATCCTCACTCAAAGCCTGATTGGCAGAGTTGGCCTGGTCCAGCTGCTCTCTCAGCATGGCGTTGACCTGGGTGAGGCTGGAACTCCTATGTGGAAGAGAAAAAAAGCTGAACGGCGATGGTGGCAGATTAGGAGGTTTCATAGTACTGGGGCGGGACACTGGAAGGATCTATAGTACTGGGGCGGGATACTGGAAGGGTCTATAGCACTGGGGCGGGATACTGGAAGGATCTATAGTACCGGGACGGGACACTGGAAGGATCTATAGTACCGGGCGGGACACTGGAAGGATCTCTAGTACCGGGACGGGACACTGGAAGGATCTCTAGTATTGGGGACGGGACACTGGAAGGATCTCTAGTACTGGGACGGGACACTGGAAGGATCTCTAGTACTGGGACGGGACACTGGAAGGATCTCTAGTACTGGGACGGGACACTGGAAGGATCTCTAGTACTGGGACGGGACAACTGGAAGGATCTCTAGTACTGGGACGGGACAATGGAAGGATCTCTAGTACTGGGACGGGACAATGGAAGGATCTCTAGTACTGGGACGGGACACTGGAAGGATCTCTAGTACCGGGACGGGACATGGAAGGATCTCCAGTACCGGGACGGGACATGGAAGGATCTCCAGTACTGGGACGGGACATGGAAGGATCTCTAGTACTGGGACGGGACACTGGAAGGATCTCTAGTACTGGGACGGGACAATAGAAGGAAGGACGGGACAATGGAAGGATCTCAGTACTGGGACGGGACAATAGAAGGATCTCTAGTACTGGGACGGGACACTGGAAGGATCTCCAGTACTGGGACGGGACACTGGAAGGATCTCCAGTACTGGGACGGGACACTGGAAGGATCTCCAGTACTGGGACGGGACACTGGAAGGATCTCCAGTACTGGGACGGGACACTGGAAGGATCTCCAGTACTGGGACGGGACACTGGAAGGATCTCAGTACCGGGACGGGACACTGGAAGGATCTGGAGTACTGGGACGGGACACTGGAAGGATCTCTAGTACGGGACGGGACACTGGAAGGATCTGGAGTACCGGGACGGGACACTGGAAGGATCTGGAGTACTGGGACGGGACACTGGAAGGATCTGGAGTACCGGGACGGGACACTGGAAGGATCTGGAGTACCGGGACGGGACACTGGAAGGATCTCTAGTACCGGGACGGGACACTGGAAGGATCTCTAGTACGGGACGGGACACTGGAAGGATCTCTAGTACTGGGACGGGACACTGGAAGGATCTCTAGTACCGGGACGGGACACTGGAAGGATCTGGAGTACCGGGACGGGACACTGGAAGGATCTGGAGTACCGGGACGGGACACTGGAAGGATCTCTAGTACCGGGACGGGACACTGGAAGGATCTCTAGTACCGAGACGGGACACTGGAAGGATCTCTAGTACCGGGACGGGACACTGGAAGGATCTCTAGTACTGGGACAGGACACTGGAAGGATCTCTAGTACCGGGACGGGACACTGGAAGGATCTCTAGTACTGGGACGGGACACTGGAAGGATCTCTAGTACCGGGACGGGACACTGGAAGGATCTCTAGTACTGGGACGGGACACTGGAAGGATCTCTAGTACTGGGATGGGACACTGGAAGGATCTCTAGTACTGGGACGGGACACTGGAAGGATCTCTAGTACCGGGACGGGACACTGGAAGGATCTCTAGTACCGGGACGGGACACTGGAAGGATCTCTAGCACTGGGACGGGACACTGGAAGGATCTCTAGCACTGGGACGGGACACTGGAAGGATCTCTAGTACTGGGACGGGACACTGGAAGGATCTCTAGTACTGGGACAGGACACTGGAAGGATCTCTAGTACTGGGACGGGACACTGGAAGGATCTCTAGTACCGGGACGGGACACTGGAAGGATCTCTAGTACTGCACAAGTTGCAGGGATTTCTATAAAACATTCTTCTGCTGGGTGAGGAGACCGGAGGGGCCAGGGTGGCCAATGTGCCAGAAGAATGGTAAACAGTAACATGTTTCAGGCTATCACTGTGAGAACATTTGCTGGTCACCAGCTCCGCCCATTCCTGTGACCGCAGGTTGTCTCTCTCCTACCTCTGTTGTTCCTCCTCCAGGCGTATCAGTGCGTTCTCCAGCTCATTGCTGGTCTCCTCCTCCTGCCGCAGCCGCGAGTCCGTCATCTCCAGGCGGCTCTGCACAATATATATATCTTCATGCTCAGTAATGTGTCAGTATCCAGGTATTTAGAGATCACCGCCCTCATCCCCCTTCCCCTCCCCCCACCAATGCCTCCATCTGCTTTTCCCTCCAGAAGGGCAGCACCATCCTTGTTCAGGCATCACCCAGAGCTCATGTTTAACACAAAGATCTTTATTTCATATAAACTAAGGCTCACACTAAGACGTTCGTGCTCCAGCTCTGTCGATCGTTCCAGCAGCTGCTGCTCCACCTCTCCACATCGCTTCTTGTACTGCAGAACCTGCGGAGACCATCAAAGGTTATGAATACCCTCATCAAATCCCCAGCCGGCCCTCCATAGAGCTGTGCCTCCCATCCGGCCCTCAGAAAATACGAACAGGTCATGTTCTCCAGATCTCTTCACAGGATCCAAGGTGAAAGGATCAGCATGTTACTAAGTCGGTCTGCGGCTGAAGCTGATGGCACACATTATATTCTGATTGTACAATGTCCTTTAAGATGACCATACATGGGACAACCCATCGCCAATCACTTAAGTCTACCAAGAACTTTGTAGGGTGAGGTTGTCTGATTGGATACAGACTGGAGGACTATATAGGTAGGCACTAAGATTACAGAATTGTTGGCAAATCTAAAGAAATTGTACAGTTTTGATTGGGTATGAAATAAATAGGTTGCTTAAGTAGGCGCTCACACCCCATAGATTTGGTAAGTAGGCCTTCACACCCCATAGATTTTTGGTAAGTAGGCCTTCACACCCCATAGATTTGGTAAATTTCCCTCACACCCTATAGATTTAGTAAGTTTCCCTCACACCCTATAGATTTGGTAAATTTCCCTCACGCCCTATAGATTTGGTAAGTAGGCCTTCACACCCTATAGATTTGGTAAGTAGGCCTTCACACCCTATAGATTTGGTAAGTAGGCCTTCACACCCCTATAGATTGGTAAGTAGGCCTTCACACCCTATAGATTTGGTAAGTAGGCCTTCCCTCACGCCCCATAGATTTGGTAAGTAGGCCCTCACACCCTATAGATTTTGGTAAGATTTTAGGCCTTCACACCCATAGATTTGGTATGTTTCCCTTCACACCCCATAGATTTTGGTAAGTTTCCCTCACGCCCTATAGATTTGGTAAGTTTCCCTCACGCCCCATAGATTTGGTAAGTTTCCCTCACACCCTATAGATTTGGTAAGTTGCCCTCACACCCTATAGATTTGGTAAGCTGTCCTCACGCCCCATAGATTTGGTAAGTAGGCCCTCACACCCCATAGATTTGGTAAGTAGGCCCTCACACCCCCTTAGATTTGGTAAGTAGGCCCTCACCCCATAGAGATTTGGTAAGTTGCCCTTACCCCATAGATTTGGTACGTAGGCCCACATAGACGTCACACCCCATAGATTTGGTAAGTAGGCCCTCACGTCCCATAGATTTGGTAAGTTTCCCTCACAACCCATAGATTTGGTAAGTTGCCCTCACGCCCCATAGATTTGGTAAGTTTCCCTCACACCCCATAGATTTGGTAAATTGCCCTCACACCCCATAGATTTGGTAACGTAGGTTTCCCTCACACCCCATAGATTTGGTAAGATTTAGGCCCTCACACCCCATAGATTTGGTAAGTAGGCCTTCACACCCCATAGATTTGGTAAGTAGGCCCTCACACCCATAGATTTGGTTGGCCCTTCACACCCTATAGATTTGGTAAGTAGGCCCTCACACCCCATAGATTTGGTAAGTTAGGCCCTCACACCCATAGATTTGGTAAGTTTCCCTCACATATAGATTTGGTAAGTTCCCTCACACCCCATAGATTTGGTAAGTTGCCCTCACACCCATACCCATAGATTTGGTTGGATTTGGTAAGCTGCCCTCTCACGCCCCATAGATTTGGTAAGTAGGCCCTCACACCCCATAGATTTGGTAAGTAGGCCTTCACACCCCATAGATTTGGTAAGTTTCCTTCACACCCCATAGATTTGGTAAGTAGGCCCTCACGCCCCATAGATTTGGTAAGTTTCCCTCACAACCCATAGATTTGGTAAGTTGCCCTCACGCCCCATAGATTTGGTAAGTTTCCCTCACACCCCATAGATTTGGTAAATTGCCCTCATTAGATTTGGTAAGTTGTACCCCATATATTTGGTAAAGGCCCTCTACCCCATAGATTTGGTACGTAGGCCCTCACGCCCCATAGATTTGGTAAGTAGGCCCTCACACCCCATAGATTTGGTAAGTAGGACCTCACACCCCATAGATTTGGTAAGTAGGCCCTCACGCCCCATAGATTTGGTAAGTTTCCCTCACACCCCATAGATTTGGTAAGTTGCCCTCATACCCCATAGATTTGGTACGTAGGGCCCTCACGCCCCATAGATTTGGTAAGTGGTAGAGTAAGTAGGCCCTCACACCCCCCTCACACCCATAGATTTGGTAAGTTTCCCTCACACCCCATAGATTTGGTAAGTTTCCCTCACGCCCCATAGATTTGGTAAGTTGCCCTCATACCCCATAGATTTGGTACGTAGGCCCTCACGCCCCATAGATTTGGTAAGTAGGCCCTCACACCCCATAGATTTGGTAAGTAGGCCCTCACACCCCATAGATTTGGTAAGTAGGCCCTCACACCCCATAGATTTGGTAAGTTTCCCTCACACCCCATAGATTTGGTAAGTTGCCCTCACGCCCCATAGATTTGGTAAATTGCCCTCACAGTCCATAGATTTGGTAGGTAGGCCCTCACAGTCCATAGATTTGCTAAACATAAGCAGCTGCCCTTGTAACGAATCTCCGCGCTCTCCCCCCATCCATTCACACCTTGGCTTGCAACTTCTGCACAAGCTGGGCTTGCCGCTGCTGACCCTCCTGGTAGGCCTGAAGCTTTCTCTTATATGCAGCTTGTTCTTCCTCCAGACGCCTCCTGAGTTCTACATTCTGCTGCGCCAGGCTCCGCGTCTCCAGGGAGTCTCTCTCTCGCTCCCCGCTGTCCAATCGCAGTGTCTGCTCCAGCTGTCAGCAAAGGAGACAACAGTAAATACAATTAATCCTCATACTCCGGGGAGGGGGGGGGGGGGGGCAGAATGATAACCCCCAATATGACAGCCGTCTGAGGAAAGGACAGCCACTATTTTCTGCAGGCAGAGGACGTGTACGACGTACACATAGGGAGCCAACGATATTTTCATTTTCCTGATTGCCGCAAAAATACGATGGCTGAGATCTGCCGGAACACTTCCAGCATTGGATGGTGAAGACAGACATGGCAAAGATACATAATAATATCCTTTATGTCACTAGAGGGGTCACCGGCAGGAGGAAGGAGGTCCTGATTCCTCTATATAGATCCTATCACTAGAGGGGTCACCGGCAGGAGGAAGGAGGTCCTGATTCCTCTATATAGATCTATCACTAGAGGGGTCACCGGCAGGAGGTCCTGATTCCTCTATATAGATCCTATCACTAGAGGGGTCACCAGGAGGTCTTGATTCCTCTATATAGATCCTATCACTAGAGGGGTCACCGGCAGGAGGAAGGAGGTCCCGATTCCTCTATATAGATCCTATCACTAGAGGGGTCACCGGCAGGAGGAAGGAGGTCCTGATTCCTCTATATAGATCCTATCTATCACTAGAGGGGTCACCGGCAGGAGGAAGGAGGTCCCGATTCCTCTATATAGATCCTATCACTAGAGGGGTCACCGGCAGGAGGAAGGAGGTCCTGATTCCTCTATATAGATCCTATCACTAGAGGGGTCACCGGCAGGAGGAAGGAGGTCCCGATTCCTCTATATAGATCTTTATATCACTAGAGGGTTCCCCGGCAGGAGGAAGGAGGTCCTGATTCCTCTATATAGATCTATCACTAGAGGGGTCACCGGCAGGAGGAAGGATGGTCCCGATTCCTCTATATAGATCCTATCACTAGAGGGGTCACCGGCAGGAGGAAGGAGGTCCTGATTCCTCTATATAGATCTATCACTAGAGGGGTCACCGGGGGGAGGAAGGAGGTCCTGATTCCTCTATATAGATCCTATCACTAGAGGGGTCACGGCAGGAGGTCCCGATTCCTCTATATAGATCCTATCACTAGAGGGGTCACCGGCAGGAGGAAGGAGGTCCCGATTCCTCTATATAGATCTTTATATCACTAGAGGGGTCACCGGCAGGAGGAAGGAGGTCCTGATTCCTCTATATAGATCCTATCACTAGAGGGGTCACCGGCAGGAGGAAGGAGGTCCCGATTCCTCTATATAGATATATCACTAGAGGGGTCACCGGCAGGAGGAAGGAGGTCCTGATTCCTCTATATAGATCTATCACTAGAGGGGTCCCCGGCAGGAGGGAGGAGGTCCCGATTCCTCTATATAGATCCTATCACTAGAGGGGTCACCGGCAGGAGGAAGGAGGAGGTCCTGATTCCTCTATATAGATCCTATCACTAGAGGGGTAACTGGAAGGAGGAAGGAGGTCCTGATTCCTCTATATAGATCTTTATATCATTAGAGGGGTCCCCGGCTGGAGGAAGGAGGTCCTGATTCCTCTATATAGATCTATCACTAGAGGGGTCACCGGGGGAGGAAGGAGGTCCTGATTCCTCTATATAGATCTATCACTAGAGGGGTCACCGGCAGGAGGAAGGAGGTCCTGATTCCTCTATATAGATCTATCACTAGAGGGGTCACCGGGGGGAGGAAGGAGGTCCTGATTCCTCTATATAGATCCTATCACTAGAGGGGTCACCGGCAGGAGGAAGGAGGTCCTGATTCCTCTATATAGATCTATCACTAGAGGGGTCACCCGGCAGGAGGAAGGAGGTCCTGATTCCTCTATATAGATCCTATCACTAGAGGGGTCACCGGCAGGAGGAAGGGGGTCCTGATTCCTCTATATAGATCTGTCACTAGAGGGGTCACCGCAGGAGGAAGGAGGTCCCGATTCCTCTATATAGATCTTTATCACACTAGAGGGGTCACCGGCAGGAGGAAGGAGGTCCTGATTCCTCTATATAGATCTATCACTAGAGGGGTCACCGGCGGGAGGAAGGAGGTCCTGATTCCTCTCTATAGATCTTTATATCACTAGAGGGTCATCGGCAGGAGGAAGGAGGTCCTGATTCCCCTATATAGATCTTTATATCACTAGAGGGGTCACCGGCAGGAGGAAGGAGGTCCCGATTCCTCTATATAGATCTTTATATCACTAGAGGGGTCACCGGCAGGAGGAAGGAGGTCCTGATTCCTCTATATAGATCTATCACTAGAGGGGTCACCGGCGGGAGGAAGGAGGTCCTGATTCCTCTATATAGATTTATATCACTAGAGGGGTCACCGGCAGGAGGAAGGAGGTCCCTGATTCCCTATATAGATCTTTATATCACTAGAGGGGTCACCGGCAGGAGGAAGGAGGTCCTGATTCCTCTATATAGATCCTATCACTAGAGGGGTCACCGGCGGGAGGAAGGAGGTCCTGATTCCTCTATATAGATCCTATCACTGGAGGGGTCACCGGCAGGAGGAAGGAGGTCCTGATTCCTCTATATAGATCTATCACTAGAGGGTCACACCGGCAGGAGGTCCTGATTCCTCTATATAGATCCTATCACTAGAGGGGTCACCGGCAGGAGGAAGGAGGTCCTGATTCCCTATATAGATCCTATAACTAGAGGGATCACCAGGAGGAAGGAGGTCCTGATTCCTCTATATAGATCCTATCACTAGAGGGGTCACCAGGAGGAAGGAGGTCCTGATTCCTCTATATAGATCTATCACTAGAGGGGTCACTGGCAGGAGGAAGGAGGTCCTGATTCCTCTATATACATCCTATCACTAGAGGGGTCACCGGCAGAAGGGTCTGATTCCTCTATATAGATCCCCACAAAGAGGGGTCACCGGGGGAGAGGAAGGAGGTCCCGATTCCTCTATATAGATCCTATCACTAGAGAGGGTCACCGGCAGGAGGGAAGGAGGTCCCGATTCCTCTATATAGATCCTATCACTAGAGGGGTCACCGGCAGGAGGAAGGAGGTCCTGATTCCTCTATATAGATCCGAGTTGCCCTCAATCTATCAGGAGGAAAGTCCAAAATGAACCTTAGAGTAATAATGGTCTCCTGAAGAGTGGTTGATGTCAGACATCCCCAGAGGTAGGTAGTCAGCCAACAGTAAGTCATTCCAGACATACGTAGATAACCCAGAGGAAGGATTTCGAAGAACGTTTTAGAAGGCGGACTTGATGGACGATTACGCTCTTTTCTGCTGTTAGTCCATCCACCTGGAAGATAGACACAACAAATGTTGGGGGGAAGTCGGTGTCAGAGATGGTGTACCCAGAGGAGGACCATGATAGAACCCCAATCCTCTGCAGCTCTCAGGGGTCACCCCAGAATCAAGGTCCGTCTGTAGAAGATCCAGACATTTTGGGCTGAGTGAGCAGATTACCCAGAATCCTCCACAAAGAAGACACAACAGGGCTGGTGAGCGGATTACCAGAATCCTCCACAAAGACACAACAGGGCTGGTGAGCAGATTACCCAGAATCCTCCACAGACAAAGAAGACACAACAGGGCTGGTGAGCAGATTACCCAGAATCCACCACAAAGAAGACACAACAGGGCTGGTGGCAATTACCCAGAATCCTCCACAAAGAAGACACAACAGGGCTGGTGGGCAGATTACCCAGAATCCTCCACATAGAAGACACAACAGGGGCTGGTGAGCAGATTACCCAGAATCCTCCACAAAGAAGACACAACAGGGCGGTGAGCAGATTACCCAGAATCCTCCACAAAGACACACACAGGGCTGGTGGCAGATTACCCAGAATCCTCCACAAAGAAGACACAACAGGGCTGGTGAGCAGATTACCCAGAATCCTCCACAAAGAGAAGACACAACAGGGCTGGTGAGCAGATTACCCAGAATCCTCCACAAAGAAGACACAACAGGGCTGGTGAGCAGATTACCCAGAATCCTCCACAAAAAGACACAACAGGGCTGGTGAGCAGATTACCCAGAATCCTCCACAAAGAAGACACAACAGGGCTGGTGAGCAGAGCAGATTACCCAGAATCCTCCACAAAGAAGACACAACAGGGCTGGTGAGCAGATTACCCAGAATCCTCCACAAAGACACAACAGGGCTGGTGAGCAGATTACCCAGAATCCTCCACAAAGAAGACACAACAGGGCTGGTGAGTGGATTAGGTTATCCCAGAACTCCACAAAGAATCCTCCACAAAGACACAACAGGGCTGGTGAGCAGATTACCCAGAATCCTCCACAAAGACACAAACAGGGCTGGTGAGCGGATTACCCAGAATCCTCCACAAAGACACAACAGGGTGCTGGTGAGCGATTACCCACAATCCTCCAAAAGACACAACAGGGCTGGTGAGCAGATTACCCAGAATCCTCCACAAAGAAGACACAGGGCTGGTGAGCAGATCAACCCAGAATATCCTCCACAAAGAAGACACAACAGGTGTGAGCAGATTACCCAGAATCCTCCCAGACAAAGAAGACACAACAGGGCTGGTGAGCAGATTACCCAGAATCCTCCACAAAGAAGACACAACAGGGCTGGTGAGCAGATTACCCAGAATCCTCCACAAAGAAGACACAACAGGGCTGGTGGGAGCAGATTACCCAGAATCCCTCCACAAAGAAGACACAACAGGGCCGGTGAGCAATTACCCAGAATCCTCCACAAAGACACAACAGGGCTGGTGGAGCAGATTACCCAGAATCCTCCACAAAAAGAAGACACAACAGGGCCGGTGAGCAATTACCCAGAATCCTCCACAAAGACACAACAGGGCTGGTGAGCAGATTACCCAGAATCCTCCACAAAGAAGACACAACAGGGCTGGTGAGCAATTACCCAGAATCCTCCACAAGAAGACACAACAGGGCTGGTGAGCAGATTACCCAGAATCCTCCACAAAGACACGACAACAGGGCTGGTGAGCAGATTACCCAGAATCCTCCACAAAGAAGACACAACAGGGCTGGT